GACTACCGCTGCTTTCCAAAGCCTGGGAGGGGCTACTGAAAGCCTCGCTTCCCGGCTGAAACTACCCATCACTTGCTTTATATGTTGTTTATGACTCTAATAAAAAAATTTGTGGGAATGGACTAAATTAAGAAGTGAACTGCCTGCAACTGTCCTGTAGTCCTGTTTGTTTTTAAGGGTTTTACGCGAATAATTGAAGATGGTTGAAACTGCATAAGTGTGAATAGAGATGGATTTGTTTCTCCTAGTATCAAGAACATTTATGCAAATCTTGATGTTTACAATGTATGAAGCATTACATGTCAATACAAGAATGCCGGCACAATGCGCACAACAAATGATGGTGCTACTAATCTGCCATTTTTTTTTTTGTTGACAAAGTAAGGTAAGCAGGTATATCCAAAAGTAAGGAAAAGAAAAACAACAAAAAAGAAGGAAGGAAGAAAGAAGAGAGACGACAAATAACAAACAAACAAGAGCCATACTCTACTCATATCAGGGGTCCAAACATCCAAAGATGCCTTACTATAAAAGCTCCTTTGAGCCTACTAGTCATACATAGCCTTCAAAGTTTTAAAGACAACAACACACAAAATAAATACAACAATGCAAATTTGATCATACCTTTAGCCAATACTCTTTAGCCAATACTCCTCCAGCAATCAAATCTACTCCCATTCTTCCTAATCCGTGGCCAGGATGCTGTTTCTGTTTTCCCTCATATAGTTACTTCAGTATACCACGCAGTTTTCAGCTACTATTTATTACAAAGTTTATTTAATGTCAATACTTCAATTTCATGACACAAACTGTCTAACGTTAAGCAAGGGGGAAAAACCTTAAGAGGGTCCTCTATAAAAAGTCATGCAGGGAGGTAGAAACATTTGACACGCGTTCCCCATCACAAATCTTAAAGATAGTGGTTAATGACCATCCAATACGCGTCTTACAATCTCCTACCTCCCCATAAAATTTTCTGTAGAGGGTCATCCATAGGGATTTTTTTTTCCTCCCTCCTTTAGGCAGGGCATTGATACCCAGAGGCTGGACGCTTCCCACAATCAACCAACAGTTCCAAAGCTGTAGGCAAGATGACTTTAACATCAAGAACCTTGGCCTTTATGGTGGTGGTGCACTAGCAAAATGCTGCATCGAGGTCAGCTAGATCTGTGAGCACCGGGCAGCAAGCATGAGTGGCTCCCCCTCCAATTACACCATGCACAAGGCCACTCGAGAGTATCGACACACGCACTGAGCTTGAGGGTGTCAATAGGGCAATGCGATGCTGTTGTTGTTGGAGGAGGTGGTGGACAGGGCTTCGGCTTTGGAGTCGGAGAGGCTGGTGGAGGGCATGGCTTTGCTTTCTGTGGTGGAGAAGTAGGACAGGCTTTTGGTGGTGGTGGGCTCTTAGGAGTTGGGTTAGGGCATGAAAGGGTAAGAAAGAGACAGGTTTAGGAGCAGGGGAAAAAATGATGGATAGTAGAAGATAGCTAGCTCCCCATTTTTTTACAAGGAAGGAAAAAAAATTAGTGAAGGGTGTTAGCATGTAGGCCTAGTTTTATAGATTTCATGCGTGTGAGTGTGTAGTTCTTAGTGGTGGTGCATTTTGTGACTTATAAAAAGTCAAGTGGTGTTTGTCCTAGCTGCTTGTAATTCATGACCTATAAAGATGCAACTTGACTGGTGTTATCATTCCTATGAGGAAGCAAGTTGGTTTGATATTTTTGTATTGGTTTGTTTTCATTAGGTTAAATAGGAGGAGAAAAACAAAAGATAGATGTAGGAGGACAAGAAAAGCATAGAAAGTAAGTTTGATGAGCAAGTAAAACCTAACTTTCAGAGAGAGAGAGAAAACCTAGATACACAGACACATAAGAACACATTTAAGTATCATTAGAGAGCTCTGGGGCTCATTGATGGCAATCATAAAACATCAGAGCCCAGTGATCCAAAAGCTAAATTAAAACCATTTTAAATCTCCTCAAGCTTGAGCACAACAAGAATCATGAGTCATTCTTCCATTCACGGGTTTATAGAGGTCTACTCCTATTTACCAAAAAATAAAATGTGCCGAAGAATACAAACTTAGGGAGCTCATGTTCAACGTGAATCTGTGCCTAAGGACCAAAAGGATCAAAAGTTTCAAATGACGTGTAAACATATCATATGTGGGGTTAATTAATTGACAGCAGCTGGCAAGTTCATGAATCACTAGGAATTTCTGCAATCCCCGTGATTTGCTGGGAAGAACCGAAATAATCAGATGCCGATGAAGCATTGTATACAAATTTGATAATTTCTTTTGGAATGTTTGTGGAAGTTTGTAGCTGTGATGAATAATCATATACGTTGGGATAAATTTTCCCTGGGCCCTCAAGGCATTTATGCTATGTAGAATTGGTTATAGATGAACAAAGAACTAGTAAAATCTCGATTCAGATATGAAATAAAAGGACATCATATATTACCAGTTAAAATTCAGATATGAAATAAAAGGACATCATATAGGCAAACAATTCTATTACAAGTTAAAATTATCCATGTTACATAATACATATCCTAAAAGAAAGTTCGAGACAAACCTTATTAGATCCACTACTAGATCTGATTATTTCAACATAATTTCCAAATAGAAAAAGAAATAGATGGGAAATGAGTGACTTCTCCTCTTAAATCGTATAAGCTGTTTTGGCGGAGATTTAAACTGTCTCAGATTTTACACAGGAGCATCAGCTGTAGAAGGGTGATTTTCAAAGACAAAGACTGGATCTCCCACTGAAACTGACTTTTCTATTCCAGAAGCAGACAGTGAATCCTCACACACCAAATTTTGACCAAAATATACCTAAAATAACAAAACAACGCGAGTTTGAAAACTATAAATAATATAGAAAACTGCACAATAAATGGTCTTACTAATGACTGAAATTTTTATAAAACATATGACTGTTTTAGCTGTTCGGCGTTTTTTTAATGAATTATATTCAGTAAATGATAGCACTCTATCAACACTCCAAGTTTTGTTGCTTGGCAACTTAGCTGGGAGAGTGCTTATTTATAATTATTCACTCAGCAGGGGAAAACTAGATGGCAAAGTAAAAGAAGAAGGTCACCTTCCCCAGCTTTTTCTTCAGGTTTAGAATATGGTCTGACCGAAATGTTAGGAGAGTTTCTGTTGGTTCTGCTGCAGAAACTCCACTTTCCTGATCAATGTTTGGCACCTGAAGAGAGCGGAAAAAAATTAGAGTATTTGGAAATCATGATGCATTTCAAACTTTCAGTACTAAGCTGAGACTAGTATTTGATTTTAGTAACAACCCAAGTCGGTTGTGGTATATTAAATAATTAATTTATGAATAGTATACTATTGTTTTGATTTGGGTTTCATTATATTAGAAACTACACGGGTACTTATCATGTCACATTTCCCTTCTAGTTACATGTATGTATGTATACACATAAAACGTACTATATTTTTGGGTAAAATATCTGTATGAAAAGTTAAATCTGACTTCTGACAATAGAAATAAGCTTCGCGACTGAAAATGCATAGAAGTATAAACAAGCAACTTTGAGTAGGAAGTTCTGACGCTTTGGGATAGGAAAGCATTAAGTTAACCATGTATTCTCCTTAATTGCTTCCTACCAAGTTCTCTCAGGTCTATCACTAGTTCTTTTTGCTCCATTACTTATAAACTTATAATCTTATCGCTTCTCCTAATTGGCCCCTGTTGCACATTGCCAATCATCTCAATCAATTATCTCTCATCTTATAAACTTCAAGCTAGCTTTAACACAAACATTACATACTCATTTCTGCCTCATTTTTTGTCCATGTTGTTTCTCAAGTGAACAACATTATGATTCACAAAGCATCGTGTTACCTTAATAAGGCTGATATAATTAATAACAACATGGAGTTGAAATGACGCAGGTGTTACCTTACAGCGTGCACATAGCTTCACTCCACGAAATGTAAGGTTGTTTATTTTGATAACTTTCCATAAATCCTCTGAAAACGGTTCACATCCATCAACAAGAATGCTGCAAAACCAATATGAACAGAAACAGACTAGTCATCATACCAATATCGATGGAAGGAACACAAAATTCATCTTGTTAAGAACAATAAAAATGCAATCAATAGCTTTATTCCTCCATTCTCTTACTTGGGTCTGAAACGATTGATGGATACTGGTTCACGAAGAAGTTCATTTAACTTGTTGATCGATTGCTGCAAATAGAAGGTTATAACATTCATAAATAATAATTATCCCCTACACCGTTTGCTAGAATATTTGTTCTACTTCTGATATCTATATCACTAACCTGAGATGCTATCAAGAATGGATACAGATCAGAAAACACAATTTTGTATCCTTGAGCATAATTTGGTTCCACAGATCTAATTTCTGATGCTGAAATATAAAAATTTCCTCAGCTGTAATGGTTGGTATGTTAAACAAAATAAGGAAATGCTTCATTTCAGAAATAGAATTCTAAAACTATCATTAAAAAAATTAACTATGTTGCAGACACCAATTAGTCACTCATGTGTCATCAGACTCATCACAATATAAAAGTCGAAATCTAAACTATAGTCATCCAGTTCAAATTATCAACATACCAACTATCTGGCAAATTTTATGGCGTAGAAAAGTTTTTCAAACTATCATGCACAATCCTAAAGTCTCATTATGACTTAATCGTTATGACTTCAGATTGGTTATTTAATCACGACAATACTTCTAAAATAATATTTATAAAAAAAGAAGATAACTGAGCCTTTAAAGCAGCACACATTGTGAAGAACACTAAAGGAGATAACTGAGCATTTAAAGCAGCACACATTGTGAAGAATACTGGAGTGGATGAAATAAGAACAATATATGTTCCCAAAATAACACAAGAAACTTACTAATGTTGAACCGCACTAAACGACTTGGCTTTCCCAGGTAAGTCGAGAACCAATCAGATGCTTCAGTTCCTTCATCAAATGCAGAGCCAGACCACTCCCATACAGAGATACCATCAATAACATCACATACTCCCTTCAGAGGAACCTTTAATAAGTCCATTCCGGGGGCCCTTATTACTGTTGGAAGGGTGACGAAACATAAGGAAAGGTTATGGGTTATCATAAGATTCAAAATAGAAATTATCTACCTAACACTGCCATAGTTAATAAAATATAATACACAATAAAAGTAAAGTATATGAAAAGTTATGCAACAACTATGGTAACATCCTATAAATGACAATATTCCTCCCCACAATGAGGGTTAATATCTGTAAGATGTATCCCTACTGTGGAAAGAACTTGTGAAATTGAGAACTCGGCCAGTAGGTTAGTGCACTGATTCTTTGAATTATTTATTCAAAATTTACCGATCAAATAACTATTTTGTTGGTCAAGTGCATAACATGAACTAATTGTCCTCATAAACCATGATGTAGAACACTCCAATTCTAAATCTGGCGATGTGTTATGAAACGGACACGAGTAATTTACTAATTCACTGAGAATGATATCAGTTATTTTACAGATTTTAGTAACACAACTCATCTTTTTGCTGGTAAAAAAAGAGGCCCTCAGCAAGCTGACTAATTACAGATACTTTCTATTTTCTACTAGACAATGAAAATCCTAGAAGTCAGACACGCCGGTCTGATACGTCAACAATCTCAATATAAGGATCAATAGATTTCAAACAAAAGGTTCATATAACAGGTCAAGAGCATACACATCTTTCCTTACACGATTAGCTAAACATCATTGATTTGATTATATATGCATAATTATTATATCGTACATTCTAACTAATGACAGTAAATGCTATATGTCATACTGTCAAGATGTCTACAAGGCTCCCTAAACAATTTTTGGAGAAGTTAATGACATGTATGTGTAACAAAATACCTAAAAATGAACCATCTGTTGGCTCCCAATCCTCATTAAAGGCATCTGTTGGCAGTTCTACCTCAACCAATGCAAGCTTAGGTTCAACCCTTTGAGTGTATGCCCTTCCCTTGGAGTTTACGACCAACCAATGACGATCCCATTGAAATCCTGCACAATAAAGTGATAAATCAACAAAGAAAAGATTTAAATGGCAAGAAATGTTAAGAAAAATTATTATTTGATTATGGATCGGACGTATGAACTATACCAAATAGAGATGAAAGAAATCAATGGGGCATTGTCAATAACAAGTATCATAATTGATCAGTCCTAAGGCGGCCTTTGCCAGGGTCTCATGATTTATTTCATATGATAATACCATCTTCATCGCTTCTGTTGTCTGTGGCCTAATTAGAGACATCAGTTATCTTTAAAAATCAGCATATGAATTTATGCACGCACACACACACACCAAGTTAACATCAAATTGCATAAGCTGTACCTTCGGATTAAACTTAAACTTATACTAAACTCCCCCCCTAAAATTGATTAAGGAGTGAAAAATGAATCACCTTCGGAACTGGGCACCGCCTTGAAGTCAAATTCTAAGAAATAATGGTCAAATCAGGACCAAAACAGAAAACAAAAAGCACCCATGAATTCTCACGCAAAGCAGAATCCAGGAAACGAGAAAAGGAGCAGTCTTTTTACCAGTTGAAGCGATGGGAGCTTTAGGAACAGAAATGCCCCTGCAGGATTTGACGGGGTATATGAAGATGGAGGTGACTTTTGCTGAGGGATCAGAAGGGCCGCTGCTGCGGCCGAGGATCGAGGACAAGAAAGAAGAAGCTTTCTCCATTGACAATTGAAACTGGAACCAGAGAAATTTCTCTCAAATTCTAAGAACGAAAACAGAGAGAAAGAGACTGAGAGGACATAAAACAAGGCTACAGAAAGACTTTGGTTTCCTTATTAGGACAGCGTTTTTTAACTGATAAAAAGTGGGACCCCTGGGTCCCAGTGTGTGCTAAGTTGGGTCACTCAACGTTGTTATTATTTAATAGTTGGATTTAAGTTAAGAGGTTTGCTTCCGAGCTACAAAATAAGTTTTTTATTTATTTTTTAATTGAAAAAAAAATAAGCTAAAATACGAAAGGGTATTTTTGTCTTTGGTAAACTAGATTTTTTGTAAAATATATTATAACTGAAAGCAATGTAAGATAGAAAATACTATGGTACCTAAATAATTTTTGGAAGATCCTCGTAGAAAATGTAAATAAAAAAATTGCAAATATTGATTATAAATATAGGAGTTTCAAAATGAAAAAAAAAATAGAATTTGGATAGATTGAATAGTTTGACTTTTAAAGAAAAGAGTTTTAAAAGGTTACATTTCTTAGTTAAGTGAGGAATTAAGAAGTGCAGAATTTTTTTTTATGGAAAGTGCAGAGCTTTTACTTGATAACGAGATAAAAATTAGGTGTAGTTGAAGAAATCTAATTGATCATAAATTATACTTCTCTCCTTAATTGTATTTCCTAAAATAACTTGTTTTCCTAATTGAAATCATAGTTAGTTATAATTTTGGGTGCGGAACATCTCCTCACCAGCAAATGTATCTATCCCAAGATATCAGAGCTATTTTTAAGGAATTTATTTAAGGATATGCCATTGGTGCTCCAACAATTCTTTATGGAACGACGAAACTATTGGCTTAAATTAATCCCTTGTTTGGATTGAGGGTAATGGGGGTGAGGGGAAGGGAGGGTAACTTTTAACCTTGTTTGGGAAGTAAATATAGCAAGTTAATAGGGGTGAGGGGAGGTGAAAGGAGGTGAAAAAATAACATGATCCCCCCCCCAATTTGGGGTGTAATGGGGGTGAAGGTAAAGAGGGGGAATACAACAAATGTAGATAGACATATTTACCCCTAGCTAAGATCAAAATCCAACGGCTAAAATTTCTAACAATAATATAACTTAATAATATGTGAGGGTATTTATGTCAATTTATATATATTCCCTTCCCTTCCCTTCCCGTTATTACACTTTCCAAACGGAGTGAAATAACTTCCCCTTGATTCACATTACTAGTTTCCCAAACAAGTTTTAGAAATTCTCTTCTCTTTCCTTAACTTAACTTCCCCTAGGTTCCCCTAACTTCCCTTCAGCCCCTCCAAATCCAAACAAGCATTGATTTTGCTATTAGATCCCCCAATTCTGCTAGTTTTGATTGGAAGGAATAATTTGAAGAACTTAAAAGAATTATGGCACCTAGTAGCAATTTTAATGATTACAATGACTAACAATTAGACACAACTTTTAAGGAGGTGTGTGTGGGTGGGTTCCAATAGCAATGTCAATGATTTGAGGATTAGTCTGAAATGTTGAAGATTTAAGGGAGTATAAAATAAAAGTGGATAACTGCAAAATGCTAACAGAAAAATGGAGATTCATGGAAATATGGAATCAGGACCTCACTCTGAGAATCTACCAAGAAAAATATAGTTTGCAAGTATATAATGTTTTGTGAGAACTAATATACAGTAATGAAAGTTCGGATGGACAAAACTGTAAACATTCGTTCGATAGACATTGGAACTGAAATGCAAAAAACTCCCCAGCTTATGAACGAATTTATTTTTCACCACCTCATCTTCATCATTTTTATTTATAGTTCAACATTACCCTCCAAAATTATCCAAAGACAACAATGATATTGCCGAAATTGCAGCTCCCCACTCATCTAGTGAAATCCTTCTCTTGCTCCGCCGCCAAAACTACCACCCTTCAAGAAATCGCTGCCAACCGCAAAGGTATCATTTTTTATCCACTTTTTTAAATTAAATTTAAAAAAAAGAAAAAAGAAAGAAAGAGTAGCATAAAAGCGTTAGCTATTAGGAGGAAGATATAAGTATAGTAACTGAGAACAATGTATATGGTTTATGAAGTCTTTGTTATTTTAGTGGTAGAAACACATGGAAGTGTGAGCACATTTCCTGTTTGATGATTTGTGTCAGAGAATTATAGTTTCGAACAGCGTAGGTGAAAAAAATTTGAAAAAACGTACTTTTTGAATAAGAATTCATTCTTGGTAATAGACACAGAGCTTCACTTTGGATCGATCGTAGACTGGATTCCGATTTGTCCACTCTGAGGTTCAAGCTTGCTGTGTCGAAAATAATACGATCCTTAGCTGAGTCTCATGTCGCATGTATTGGTTACCACCCTGCTATTATTCAGCCGCTTAAACTGATTTCAGTCATTTCTTGATGTTTCCAGATATCCTAGGTTGGTCTCTTGTCAATTTTAGGGTATCTGAAGATGCTTCCATATCGACAGCCTCTCGTAGGCTGTTTGTTGCATGAAATTTACTTTATGCTCAAAGCACAATTCTATGGCTTAGCTTTTTGTTGGATAATATAACGATCTAGACATGAATAATTGAACTAGAAAATTCAGATTAAAGTTACCGTTCACCGACGAAAATAATAGAAGTCTTCTCCTCTCTCCTTCCGTAGCCAATGATGGGAATTATGTCTCTTTTCTGCGTACGGCTGAGAGGAGGGACCCCCACCCTTTATATAGATGTTTGTGATTAACCCTACCCATCATGGTTTAATCACAACCGTGGGATTACACTTCGATCGATCCTATCCTTTAGATATTCAAGATAACCACCCAACTTGATAAACATGAAACTGTCTAACCAGACCATATGGTTAGCATCCTTCTCCTAACTTGAATCGATGACAACTTTAAATCAAATCCAAAATCGAGGAGGTTGGGCCACTTGGGTTCGTTGGATTAATCGAACCCAACAATCTCCCACTTGGCACAACATACCTCATTTTAATTTTCAAAAATATTTAAATTTTCAAAAACTTTCAAAAGTCGGGTGCGCACCCATTTATTTTAGAAAACAACTTGTTGCCATGATTCTAATTAGGATAGTTTCCAAAACCTTTTTCTTAAAACAAAAGTACCACTAATGGTTGATCATGAAAACACTATATGCTCTAATATGACACAAGGTCACTCCACGGTCCAACTGCTAGTACCACTAATGTTCTAAAGACATTTTCCTTATGGTGGTTTTAGTGGAGTGTAATAGAGCCGTACATCCCTTATGGTCAAATCCGATGTACGCCCTTAAGTGTCCTCTGCAACATACACAAACGTGTATGCCGTTCTGAAACTTTTACTGGCATCCGCCTTGTGAAAACCATCACCTTTAGTCCAGAACGAAAGCCTCAAATGTGATGCCCAATCACATTCAGCTTCTGCACAAATTTAAGAGTCTCTTTACTTTAACCTTTATGACTCTATGGACCACTGTCTTTAATTCGAGTTTCTTTACAATTAACTTGAAACTCTTTACTTTAAACTTTAGTTTTCTTTACTTTAAAATATATATCAAGCAACAATGACCAAGAACACAATGCTTGAAAATATCAAACTGCTAAAAATTAGCACAATAGTTTCTTTATGAGCTCAAAGCAATCCAGAATATAGTACTTGAAAATAAAACAAAACTACTACGACAACTGAATCTCACTGATCATATAAAATCGAAAGACTCTAAAACTCCCATACTGGATACATGTTCCTTGAAGAGCCCTGGAAAAATTCCCTTGGTCAAAGGATCAGCAATCATCAATTGAGTCGGCAGATGAGGAACCTCAATCAATCCTTGTTCGACCTTATCAAGGACTAACAAGTACTTCACACCGATGTGCTTATTCCTGCTAGAAAAATTCTTGTTCTTTACAAACTGTACTGTGCTTATTCCTGCTAGAAAAATTCTTGTTCTTTACAAACTGTACGACTGCTTGATTGTCACAATACAATTTTACTGGTCTCTAAATGGAATTCACCACCTTTAGTTCACTGATGAAATTCTTGAGCCAAGAGGCATGCAATGTTGCTTCAAGAACAACAACAAACTCTGCCTCCATGGTGGATGTCGTCACTAAGGACTGCTTGGCATTTTTCCAGAAAACTGCTCCTCCAGCGAGCAGAAATATATAACCTGATGTTGATTCTCTGCTATCAGCACATCCTGCGAAATCTGAATCTGAATAACCAACGACTTCTAGATTTTCAGACCTTATGTAGACCAACATGAAATCCTTAGTCCTCTGCAAATACCGTAAAACCTTCTTTACAGCTTTCCAATGAGCTACACCAGGATTTTGTTGAAACCTGCCTAATATTCCCATGATATAACTGATGTCTGGCCTGATGCATGACACCGCATACATTAGACGATATAACTGATGTCTGGCCTGATGCATGACACCGCATACATTAGACTGCCAACTGCAGAGACATACTCCTCAGAGTTCAGCATACATTAGACTGCCAACTGCAGAGACATACTCCTCAGAGTTCACGAGCCTACGCTCAACTTCATTTCATGGGCATTGAGATTTGTTGTACGTATCTCCTTTGACAACTGGGGTTTCACCTGGTGCACAAAACTTCATACCATATCGTTGAATGACTTTCTCAATATAAGCCCTTTGAGATAAGCCCAACAAGCCTTTAGTTCAATCTCTATGGATCTTGATGCCCAAAACATAATGAGCATCTCCGAGGTCTTTCATATCAAAATGCCTCGAAAGAAAAACTTTAGTCTCATGTAGGAGATGAATATCGCTGCTGGCAAACAATATATCATCTACATATAATACTAGAATGAGGAATCGACTCCCACTGATTTTGAGGTATTTGCAGCGATCGACAGGGTTTTCTCGGAAGCCATATGACTCATCATGTTGCGAGCAACATCTTGATAAGTACGATTTCTTCTTTCAGCTACTCTATTTTGCTGTGGAGAACCTGGGAGAGTGTACTGAGGAACAATGCCTTGTGACCTTAAGTACTCAATGAAAGGACCATGATTTGTGCCGTCCTGATCGCTTTTACCATAGAATTCCCCACCTCGATCAGAACGCACAGATTTAATCTTTTTTTCTAATTGTTTTTCAACTTTAGCTTGAAAGATCTTGAAAACATCCAGTGCCTCATATTTGTGGTGAAGACGAAAAATATAGGCATAACGCAAAAAATTATCTATAAAAGAGATGAAGTATCGCTGACCACTATGAGAGAGAATGGGAAGGTCCACAAAAATCTGTATGAATGAGGTCAAGGAGACCTTCACTCCTGAATTACTATTAATCCTAGGATGTTTTGTACCAGAAGAAAATGAATTCACAGACATACAGAGAGGGGAAAGAAGAGATGCATCCAGATTTAATCTATAAAGACCGTCAATTAAGAAACCATGTCTGATAACATCCAAACCATTTTGATAGAAACAAAATTATTCTCAAAAACAAAACTATAACCAGATTCAGAAAATCTAGAAACTGAAATAAAATTCATTCTCATAGGAGGTACATAGAAAGTGTCTGATAAAACTAAGGAAACTCCAGAATCCAAGTGCAGACTGAAAGTCCCAACGAGCTCCACCTCCAAAGGCTGTGAGTTTCCCAAAAGCAGTTGCTCATTTGTCCTTGCCTTCCGACTGTGGATTATTCCCTCCCTTCTTCTTCAGCCACTGCTTATATTTTAGACAGTCTCTCTTCATATGACCAGGTTTCTTGCAGAAGAAACATTCAACCTTTTTACTTGCTAAAGAAGTGCTAGAAATAGTTGAAAGATTATCAAAAGACTTCTTCCCCTTGTTGCGTCCTTGATACTTGAAGGATTTCTTTCCTGCCTTATTTAGTCCAAGCTTGTCATGTGCTAGATTTGTCATCTCAGCTTTTTCTGTTTTCAGCCGCTCTTCCATTTCCTGTCTTGAGAACTATAGTTTACCTTAAAAGTGTCAAATTTGCTTGGTAGAGAAGCGACTGCAAAATGAACCATTAGATCATCCTCTAACTGAAGTCCCAGCTCCCTGAGACGAATGATCAACTGAGAGACCTTCAAAATATGCTGCCGAACATCACCACTTCCATCATATTTCAGATTAATGAGTTTGACCAGATAATTGTACTGTCTCGCTCTAACGGATCCCTCAAACTGCTTCTTGATAGTCTCAAGCAACTCCTTAGCAGTTTCACAAGCCGGAATCCCTCCACGAATAGTCTGGTCCACCGATGCTCTAATGATCAGCATTGCAAGCTTGTTAGCTTTGACCCACTTAGCATGAGATTTCTTTTCAGATTGACTTGATGACTCATCATGCTCTTCTGGCTTATCTTCAGTGAGAACATAGTCGTAGTCAAGACACCCAAGTACTATTTCAACTTGCATCTTCCAGTTATCATAGTTGGAACCGGTTAGGGGCTCAATCTCAGTCAGATGCTTCTGGATAAACTGGCCGTCCATCTGCATTACACCATGGACTTATAAATCAAATGAGACCTTCAATTTTATTAACTTTAATATTTTCACATCCAATTTAGGGTTAGAATGGATGAGTCAGAGTGTTTTACGTATGTAACCCTCCACTCTGCGGGACAGGCGGGGGGGTCATCTCATCACACCTTTGGGCAATTGATTTGACATGCTATTCGCCCCCCAAATGTGATATATAATCACCTACAGGACTAGCCTACACAACATCAGTTTGATTTGAACATTTCCTAACCTTTGGGCAATAAGGTTATTCTCCTCTCACTGACATGTTTTAACTATCCTGCACCACTTATCCTGTAGTGGATTTCCTAGACACCTTTGGGCAAGACTAGTAGTCCATCCACAGGTAAGTTTAACCTTCCAGTCTGAATGAGACTAAACTCAATCTTAGAAAATTAGGGTATTATAGGTTGATCATCTTTGAGCAAGACACTAACCTACTCTACCATAATTTCTAAGTGACTGTTTTACTGATCTTCCTTAACCCCATAGGTTGATCTAATACTTTAATCAATTTTATCATGAACCCAAATATTTACCCCACCTGAATTAAGGATATAATCATAGTAAATCAATTATCTTTATGTGCATACAATAATCTTTATGAATTGTCCAAATTCCTCTATTAAAACTTTATAAAATAAAACTAAAAACTGTATAGTTGAAAAGTACACATAATTATCTTTCCAACGACTATTTATGGGCTCAAATCGGACTTAAAACGGATCTATAGCGACCAAAACAAAATGAGTGGTCAAAACTGTAATGGGTCGGGTCTGGAAATTAATGGGTCTGACCCATTACATAATGGGTTGGGTCAAAATTTTAATTGTAGCGGGTCGGGTCCATTATATACTGGATCGGGTCTGACTTAATGGGTTATGGAGTTATGTAACTAAAAAACTAAAAGATATTTAATTATATTAATTAATCTAATTATTTATCAATTAAACTAATTAATTAACTAATTAACTAAAACCCTAACCCTAACCCCAACCCACCCGACCCAAGACTACCGCCGCCACGCCGTATCCCCGCTAGGAGCAGATGAAATCTCAAAAAAAATTATTATTATTTCAAGCAGCCATGGATCTTCCGTGAAGAGCAGCCCATGCATACAAAAATATGTATGTATATATTTTAACTTGGAAAAAGTTCCGCTGAAAAGTTTGCTGTGGCCATGATTAAAAAAAAATTTATGTTGCAGAAAAGTTCTGTGGCCATGGCTGGAGTTTTCTTCATCTAGTGGCAAAGATGAAATTATTGTAGATCAAAAGAACTCCAGCAGTAAAGATTAAATCATTCTAATAAAGAAAGATAAAGAAAGTTCATGCGCAGCAAAAATATTTTAATCATGTGCAGAAGAAAACCATGGCCGAACTTGCAAATCGTTGAGATTTTTTTCTTCTAATAATCCGAAAAAAAAACTTAAATTCTAGATCAAAAATTCATACACAATCCGGCTCTGATACCACTGTTGGATAATATAACGATCTAGACATGAATAATTGAACTAGAAAATTCAGATTAAAGTTACCGTTCACCGACGAAAATAATAGAAGTCTTCTCCTCTCTCATTCCGTAGCCAATGATGGGAATTATGTCTCTTTTCTGTGTACGGTTGAGAGGAGGGACTCCCACCCTTTATATAGATATTTGTGATTAACCCTACCCATCATGGTTTAATCACAACCGTGGGATTACACTCCGATCGATCATATCCTTTAGATATTCAAGATAACCACCCAACTTGATAAACATGAAACTGTCTAACCAGACCATATGGTTAGCATCCTGATCCTAACTTGAATCGATGACAACTTTAAATCAAATCCAAAATCGAGGAGGTTGGGCCACTTGGGTTCGTTGGATTAATCGAATGCAACACTTTTAGCCCGTCATTCTCGAGGCGTGCAAAAAATGTTTTGCGCTTCATACTCAGTTGTGCCTTACTCAATTGCGCCTTCACTCTGATCTTGTTGGTTATCAATCTTCTCCAAAAAATTGGAGTTTTCATGTGCCTCCTTTTGAATTTCATTTAACGTGCATGTACTTAACTCAAATTGGTATCCACCTCGCAATATAAGGCCCAGTGATGTAGTTAGGCTTAACCTTGGGGCAAGAACAAAATATAGTCTCAATGTTTAGTAGGCACAAATAATAGAAGACATAAAACTACCCAATTTCTACTTCTAACTCTAGGTGAACTTAAGTTATATTTGGAGGTTGATCACACTAAGTTGTTTTCGTAGGTCTAGCAAGAGTAGTTCTGAAAAAAGGGAAGACACAACTCTTTCGAGATGGAAGTCCAATGGTTTACAGCGGTGCAGTTGATAGAATAGTTGGTAGACCGCCCCCAAAAACAGGTGATACTGTTCTTGTAGCAGATGGAACTGAGAAGCCAATTGGATGGGGTGTATACAACTCTGTATCCATGTTTTGTGTTCGACTTATGCAGCTTGAAGAAGAGGCGACAAGGTAATCATAATGAATATTTCAATCATGGTCCTACCATACATTCATTACTTAAATTGTTTTTAACTTCTCAGGGATCCTTATTGTGCATTGGATATGGAAAGACTGATTGAGATAAGATTTGATGCTGCTGTAGAATTACGTAAGAGGATGGGGCTTCCATCAGCCGATACTAATGCATATCGGTTGGTCAACAGTGAAGGAGACAGGTAATGAAGTTTTCGTGCATTTTAATGCTGCATTGTTCCTCATATTTCACCGCATGACGTCTACATTCAAGTTACTTAAATAAAATACCAACATGGCTCTTGCATATGATACTTGGATGCTTAGACATGACTTGTCCTTCCTTAAGAGTCTCATGCGCAAATTCAAATTTTTCTTGCATGCTGCTTCTGATTTTCCATCTTACTCTAGATTATCTCCAAATAATTTCTTTTAGTTATGGGTTTTTGTTCCTTAATATATTACAGATTATCAGGCCTAATCGTTGACGTTTTTGGTGATGTTGCTGTGGTAGCTTCATCTGCTGCTTGGGTTGAGAAATACAAACAAGAAATAGAGCTCCATGTTGGTAGAATTAATGGTGTAAACCACGTAAATTGGAGGCCATCTGTTGATATTTTAAAGGAAGAAGGACTGGATATATTAGATTCAAAAGAAAAGACATCACCATATACCGGAAGAGTGAAGGTATGGCCCAAAATTAACTTTATCATATGTTCCAAGATCCTTGCAGGTTAAGATTCAAAAATTTGCTGACACTGGAAAATATTACAATGCTAGAAATGGCATTATTTAGTGCAACAAGAGACCCTTTTTGTTTATCTTTCTGAACTATTTGATTCAAGTTCAAGTAAGCTCATGCGTATGCTTTTAATGGTTCATAAACATGTATCAGCCCTCTTATTTTATAGGGGAAAATGAAATAGTATAACCAGAACTACAGGGTAGGTTGGAGTTGAGTACTAGAATATATCAAAAGTACAAGTAAACCAAAAGATGTGTACAAATTTTGTGGGGTACGTTCTTTATAGAAACATTGATAATAATATAAGTGCAGATAGCATTAATTGATCCCTATAGGAAGCTTAAAGTATTATTCTTAGCATTGATTACTATTTGGATTTTGCTCAAAACTTGTAAATGTCAATTCAAACAAGTCTTCCGTGATGTTTTCTTGTAAATATTTTCTTCATGTAATTGGTCATGTATTGTTTGCTAAACATACTAGAATTCAGGTGGAACCTCTACATGATTCATGATTAGCTTTACCAAATATAATTTCGTTGGCATGTGGTTACCCATCTCTGTGTGTGCGCAGACGCTGAGGAATGTACTTGCATCCAAAATATCACCACTTTAGTCTATACTTAGGTAGTTGTCAATGGGTTCAACATGTAATTTATTGGATGCATGAGTTCATTAATTCTTTGTGAGATATTGGACATCTCTGAATTTTTTTTAACCTATTTTACTGTTCTATTATATATTCCCCTCAAATCGCTTCAGAAAAGTGGTACTGGTAATATATTTTATGCATATCCATTGTTATGTAGTGCTGGCCTACCAGTTGCTTAATGTTATCAAGTTACTGTGCAAGGTAATGGAGAATGGAGTGTGCTACTTGGTATCATTGGAAGGTCAGAAAACTGGATTTTATGCAGACCAACGTGAAAACCGTCAGCTCATATCATTAATTTCTAAGGATCAGAAAGTTCTTGATGTGTGCTGCTACACTGGTGGTTTTGCTTTCAATGCAGCACGTGGAGGTGCTACTGATGTCCTTGGTAAAAAACTGTAAGCTCGAATACAGTTCCATACTAGCTTATATCTAGTAATTTTGGATTTCTATTGTAGTAGTGGTGTTTGATATAGTAAACATATGCCTGTGTTTAGACTGTTGAATGGGGTAGGCGCAGAACTAAATAAGTGACAAGTACTTATCCTTGATGTTATCAAGATTGTAGGTTATATGTCTGATTAAATTTTATAATTATGACATTATCAGGGATTGATTCCTCATTGCCGGCTTTGGAGCTTGCCAAAGAGAATATCATCCTTAATAAGCTGGACCCAGCTAGTGTTTCATTTCTCAGAGAAGATGCAACTGAATTCATGAAAAGAGCAGCATCCAGAAATGAATCATGGGATTTAGTGATTCTAGATCCTCCCAAACTAGCACCTAGAAGAAAGGTTTTTCCTCAACTGCCAACTTTCATACAAGTTTATTCTAGTCTGTAGGCGTATTTTGTTGTCAATATTTTCCAAATACTGTTCTACTTCCTTTAATTGATTTTTTTGGTTTCACTAGTATGCAACCAGATTAGGCTGCAAGAATACTTTTGGTTGGACAGTTATTTGCAGCTGAAGCGTCATTTTGGCACCTTAAATAGGAGAATCCAATTTGAACTCGTTTGTCTAATGCTTGTTTTTCATTATAAAACCTAGAAGTTTTGGCAGTGCTGGATTGATTAAGCTTTAAATTTCATGAGGTGTTAGCATACCATATGTCTAGATTTTGAGTAGGAAATAATTATGAAACTTTGCATGTTGATATTTATTGCTTCTAATGAGAAGTGCACTCTTACATTTGTTGTTTCATGTTAATGAGGAAAATGGTTTTACCATTTGGAAGGCATATGAATACATTACAATTTGCGATAGCTTTATCAAATTTCTATCATGAGAAGGGTCTTAAATAATGCAATCATAAGTTCTTTTCGGCCCTCTCATTTCCCTTGTGGAGTAAGGTTGCAGGGTTGTCTGGGAATATTTTGTATGCTTAAGTAAATTTTCTGTGATCATCACATGATTTCCAATTATTTGTTGTTTCTAATTCTCAGGTTCTACAAAGCGCATCTGGTATGTATAGAAATTTGAACTCATTAGCAATGCAAGTTACCAAGAGAGGAGGCCTCCTCATGACATGTTCATGTTCAGGAGCTATGACTCAAAGCGGAACATTCCTGCGTACCCTTCAGGCAAGTGATATTTTTTCACTTTTATAGATGAAAATTCATACTCACTTCTATCACCTGCGGCAATCCTTTGTTAACTTTGAGACTCAATTTATCACTTCAATAAGCTCAACGTGTGTCATTTATTTATCATCTATCCCTGTTGGGTGGTCTCATTGAAATTTGATCAAAATAGGCCAATGCACAGCATAGGGTTATGAATTTGAGTATAGAGTAAAGATAAATATGCACAATTACTATACACCGATAATCGATCATAGTCTCTCTTTAAACTTCTAAGTTGACATATCAATATCTAAAATTCCATCACCGTGATATAAGATCTCCTGGAAAATGGTTTATGATACAATTCCTGAATTATGCTCTCATTGTAAACTTTTGGTTAATCTTTCACAATTCTTGGAAATCCCATGTCTCATAGCCTAGACATTCTAATAGCCAAAAGCATAGTTTGTGTGTATGCTTCAATGTCATTGCGTGTGGTTTATAATCAGTACTATAGCCAGAAACCCATCTTTATTTATCATGAATGAAAGCTATGTTTCAGGAATTGGTGAACTAGAACGTCCTATTCTTATAAATTTGCTTTTAAATTTGCTGGCATTGCCTAATTCAATATATAGCTGCAGTTCAGTGATGTACTCCCGCTAAATGCTCTAAACCAAGTGAGCAATATGTAATTCATCCCGCTTACCATCTTACATCAAGTTTCAGTTAAAAATGTACAAAGATCTTCTCCCAAAATTTTTGAGGTTGCTACATTGAATCCTAAATTTCCATGCAGTTTTTTTAAGCATTATCTCCTATGTTAATTTAAGTATTGTCATATACTACTACTTCGTCGGTGTACCTCTTGTTCTCTTTGCTCTATAATCTTGATCACTTTCCCTAACCGGTGCACCAATTAATTGACAAGCATCTAGTAAACTTTCCCTCTGTTTTTGTCTCAGGGTGCTGCATCGATGGCACAAAGAAAGATTACAGTTGTGCGGCAAGCTGGAGCAGCCTGTGATCATCCAATAGACCCATCATATCCAGAAGGAGCTTATCTCACCAATTACTTGCTCAGAATTTTGTGAAAGATGACCTTTTAAAACTATGAGCTCTAGCATTTATTGAATCCTTGGACATACTTTGTGTTCATCTGTGTTGTAACTAATTGCTGATGATTATACCTCTTTAAAATTTTGCATTCTGAGGATTACACCTTATTTGTTGCATATCTGTGGATCTCATCTCTCTGTTGGTGTCAATTGTTGTAAGCATTGACAATGGATTTTCTGTTGTCATTGGACATCGGCGATGGAAAACCCATACTTTCTGTTGGATGCTACTAGCCTTCTTCGTACATTCTCCTGTCATATATGCTTCTTCTAGAGAAATGAGGGGCCACCGACCCTAGCATTTATTATTGTTGTTGTCGTTGTTATTGTTGTTCTTGGTTACTTGATAACCATACTTTCTACTCATCCATTGGACTTTCACACTTCTAAAGAAATGAGGCGCGAGATTGAAGAGCGCCAGGGCGATAAAGTTACAAGCAGCCCTTCTTCGTGTTATACTACGCAACGTTGGCGTTCCACCCTATCATAATAATATACCCGCCGTACTCCCCACCCGACTCTGATCATTAATGCAGTAGTGTGCTTCCTCGTCAGCTTGACTCTTATTTTCACCCTCCACGCAATCATTCCTACCAAGAAATTCGTCCTTGTGTTGCTTGTTTTGTCACCTTCTTCAACATGATGTTTCTCGGTATGTGAATCCCCGAGAAACATGACGTTGAAGGTGACAAAACAGGCAGCCATAATGACAAATTTGTTGGTGGGCTAGTGATTGCGTGGAGGGTGAAGATAAGAGTCAAGCTGACGATGATGCACACTATCAATACTCAAGAACCGGGTGGGGAGTACGGCAGGTATACGACATCGACCCTATTATTATCATGGTGCAGTTGAACACCAACAACATTATGTAGATAAACACAAAGAAGGGCTGCTTGAACTTGTTGCCCGGGCGCTCTTCAATCGGACTTGGGGAGCCAACTCGAGCCTCCGGGACGGCGGCTTCGGCTCAGTTATCACAACTATGAACAACGTGTCATCTTTGTGAATTTTCTGTTGGTTCAAATGTTAACAAACACTTCGAAGTGTGAGCACGTTTCCTGTTTGATGATTTCTCTCATAGGACTGTAGTTTCTAACAGTGCAATACGAACCGTAAAGAAGTTGAGGGGTTGAGGGGATGGGTTTCTCCAAAAGTTTTGACTGCGATAAAGTATGTAAAGACAGTAAGATACTGGTAGGATTGATTAGCGTCCTGTCGATTCTAGAGTATGTAGAGATGCTTCTATATCAAATCCGAGCTTACGCTATTTGTTCCATGAAATTTATTTTTTCATAACTCGAAGCACTAGTCTACGTGACTACAACTTCACCTTGATCCCCTGGTAAAATGGTGTTCCCTTTTTTTTTTAACTTCATACTCGATTACGTCTTCATCTTGATATTGTCGGCCCAATCAATCTCGTGAATGCATTCAGTTATGGAGCTTTTATGTGCGTTCTTCTGAAATTCCAATTTACTATACATGCACTTTTTTCAAATTGGCAGTAGTCCAGCTATATATGAATTTTATGTATTGGTGCCATTAATCATGTACGTAGGCTTCTTTAACAAACCTTGGAGTACTGAAAATATATATGCTCTCAATCTTCTGTAGGCACGAAGAAAAGAAGGTACAAAGTACTCAATTCCTACTTCCTAACTTTTAAATTTCAGGAGATATATTGTACGTTGATCATGTTATCGACTTTTTCGAAATGGAAGTCCAATGGTTTACAGAATGATTGGTAGACCACCCCCAAAAACGGGTGACACTGTTCTGGTTGCCGATGGATCCGAGAAGCCAATTGGATGGGGGAGTTTACAACTCTGTATTCGTGTCTGTGTTCGACTTATGCAGCTTGAAGAAGAGGCAACAAGGTAATCATGATAAATATTTCATTTTCTCAGGGGTCCTGCTGTACATTTATTACTAAATTTTTATTTCAACTACTCAGCGATCCTCATTGTGCATTGGATATGGAAAGACTGATTCAAATAAGATTAGATGCTGCTATTGAATTACGTAAGAGGATGGGGCTTCCATCAGTTGATCCTAACGCATATCGGTTGGTCAGCAGTGAAGGAGACAGGTTAGGTAGCTTTCATGAAGTTTAATATGGCATTGTTCCTCTTATTTCACCACATAATATCGAAATTCAAGTTCATTTAATAAACACCCAATTGGCTTGTGCACAAGATTTCGGGTACCTATAAATACACAAGTCTCGCTTTTAGAATTTTATGTGCAAGTCAAATTCTTCTTGCATGCTGCTTTTGGCTTTCCATCTCACTCAAGATTGTCTCCAAATGAACTTTTTCGTACTTACGTCTTTGTTTTCTCAATGTGTTGCAGATTACCAGGCCTAACTGTCGATGTTTTTGGTGGCATTGCTGTGGTAGCTTCATCTGCTGCTTGAGTTGGAAAAATACAGACAAGAAATGAGCTCCATGTTGGTCGAATTAATGGTGTAAACCATGTAAAGTGGAGGCCATCTGTTGATATTTTAAAGGAAGGACTGGATATATTAGATTCAAAAGAAAATACATCACCATATACTGGAACAATGAAGGTATGGCCCAGAAATTTTGTCATATGTTCCAAGATCCCTGTAAGTTAAGACTCAAAAATTTGCTGACACTGGAAAATATACAATGCTACAAATGCAATTAGTAGGTGCAACAGGGGACCCTTTTTTATCTTTCTGAACTATTTGATTCAAGTTCTAGTAAGCTCATGCAAATTCTTCTTACTTAACTGTTAATGGTTCATATACATGTATCAGCCGTCTCTATAGGGGAAAATGAATTAGCATCAGCAGAACTACATGGTATATGACAATGCAACAAACTTTATTATATAAAGGTAATGCCCAAAATTAACTTTATTATATGTTCTGAGAGGCCTGCAAGCTAAAAATCATAAGTGTGCTGACACTGGCAAATATGAGGATGCAACAAACACAATTAGCAAGTGCAACAAGCTTTGTTTATCTGTCTGAACTATTTGACTAAAGTTCAAGTAAGCTCATGCAAAGGATTTTAAATTAACTATTAATAGCTCACCATACATGCGTAACCTCTCCCATTGCATGGATGGAAATTGAAGTATAGTACATACACCAGAACTACAGAGTGAAGTGGAGTTGAGTCTTTGAAATCTAACTAAAAGATGCATACAAATTTGTGGATTATGTTACTGAGTGAAACATTGATACTAATAGTGATGGAGAAAACATCAGATTACTTGTTGAAAGCTAAAAATTTATCCTTAAATTTGAATATTATTGGAGTTTTTGGTAATAACTTGTGACATGTCGATTCAAAAATGTGCGTTTAAGAAATGTTTCTATATTTTTTTTTCCACATAAATATTCTCTTGATATAAGTGGTCCTGTACAGTTTTCTAAACAAATGAGAATCCAAATGGAACCTCGAAACCGTTCATGATTAGCTTTACCAAGTAGAATTATGCTAAATAGCATACGCAGACACCAAGAAAGGTACTTGCAGCCAGACTATTACCACATTAATTATCTTTTAGATAGTTTTCCATAGTTTGAACATGTATCTAATTGGATGTATGAAATTTTTGTGGGATATTGCACATATCATCATATATTCCCCTCAAATGGCTTTAGAAAATTGGACAGCAGTGATATATTACGCACATCCTATGTTATGTAACGTTGGCCTATATGCTCAGTTGTTTAATACTATCAGTTTACAGTGTATGGTAATGGAGAATGGAGTATGCTACTTGGTATCATTGGAAGGTCAGAGAACTGGAATTTATGCAGACCAACGTGAAAATCGCCATCTCATATCACTGATTTCTAAGGATCAGAAAGTTCCTGATGTTTGCTGCTACATTTGTGGTTTTGGTTTCGAGGCAGCACTTGCCAGTTGCCAGTGCAACCGATGTCGTTGGTAAAACACAGTAAGCTTGAACTCAGTTACTAGCTTTTATCTAGCAGCTTAGAATTTCCACTTCAATAGTGATGTTCGATGTAGTAAAATCTATGTCTATGTTAAGACGAATGAATGGTGTGGGTACATGAATCAATAGTGATGTTCGATGTAGTAAAATCTATGTCTATGTTAAGACGAATGAATGGTGTGGGTACATGAACGAGACAAATGATTTGACTTATCCTTATTTATGTCTATGTTAAGACGAATGAATGGTGTGGGTACATGAACGAGACAAATGATTTGACTTATCCTTATTAATTGTTGCCAAGATTGTGGATTAGAAGACTGAGACAAGTTTTATAATTATGTCATTATGAGGGATTGATTCTTCGTCACCTGCTGTTGAGATTGCGAAAGAGAATATCATTCTTAATGAACTGGACCCGGGTAAAATCTGGTTTCTCAGAGAAGATGCAACCGAATTCATGAAAGTGGCAACGTCCAGGAATGAAACATGGAATTTAGTGATTCTAGGTCCTCCAAAACTAGCACCTAGTAGAAAGGTATCATCTCAAAGCTGCCAACTTCGTGCAAAGTGATTCTGATTCTTAGAGATACTTACATTGTCACTATTTTCCAAATCCTGTGCTACTTAATTTAGTTTGATTACTTGTTTTTGTTATCATACAACCAAATCAGTAGCCGAAGCAAACCAGTAGCTGAAGCACTTCAAAAAAAATGAGAAACCCGTTTTGGCACCTCAAATAGGATCCAATTTGAAGTCATAATTTGATGCCTATAGAAAATCCAAAAGTTTAGGTGAAGATGGCTAAACCTTTTAAATTTCTCAAGGTGTTGACGTGTCATATACCTAGCTTTGCACAGAAAAATGATTATAAAGCTTGTGGGAAGTGCATGTACGTATGTCCTTTCATGAAAATGAGAAAAAATGGTTTTACGATTGGACAACGAATATGATAACTTTAAAATGCGCGATAGCTTTTGCAAGTTTGGGGAGTTGAATAAATGCGATCATCCTCAGTATCTCGTATGCCAGCGAAATTGCCATGGTCATCACATGATTCCCAGGTACTTGTCTCTTCTAACCCTCAGGTTCTAAAAGGTGCATGCACCTGGTATGTATAGAAATTTGAACTCATGAGCAATGCAAGTTACCAACAGAGGTGGACTCCTCATGACATGTTCGTGCTCAGGAGCTATGACTCGAAGTGGAACTTTCCTGCGTACCCATCAAGCAAGCGACATTCTTATCCCCAGGAGTCGCAACCTTAATTCTTAAATCATATCATGCTGCCTTCAATTCTGTTAACTAAATGCAAGAAATTGACATGCACCCAGTAAACTTTTCAGCCGTATTTGTTTGTTTCAGGGCGCTGCATCAATCGCACAGAGGAAGATCACGGTTGTAGGGCAAGCTGGAGCAACTTGTGATCATCCAATAGACCCAGCATATCCAGAAGGAGCTTGCCTAACCAATTGACTTGCTCAGGGATGTGTGAAAGATGTCCTCCTGAAACTACGAGCTCTATAGCATCCATTGGAACTTCAGACATTATCTTTTTCGCCCTTTTGTATTGTAACTAATTGCTGATGGTGATACATCATTTAAATTTTGCGTGTTGAGGATGACATCTCATTTTGCTGCATATCCATAGAGCTAGTCTCTCTGAAACTGATACGGAGCGAGCCATGTCTCTTATAGCTTATAGATATGAGCTTAAATCTTTGGTCACGTAGACGACTGAACTCGCTATGGATGAGCATCGAGCTTCCCAAATTGTTCAGAGGTATGATGAGCAAATGCCATGTCCAAGAGCTGTGAATTTCTCATTTCTCATCTCCTCTTTCGTGAGATCTTAATCGCACTTCATTTTGATTATCAGACAAGAGGGTCAAGGAGCTGTGAATTTCTCATTTTTCATCTCCTCTTTCACAAGACAGCCTTGCTCTTGTTAAGTTACATATGCCTCTGTCGTCACCGATACATTGCAATAAGGTAGATTAATAGTTAAGAAATAGTCTAGTAACATTAATGTTAATTTAACAAAACCATTGGAGAACAACTTTGACATTAATCACTTTTTCAATAAATGTATCAACGATGAGCTCGCCTTTACTGACATAAGATTTCGATACACAAGCAAATGAAGGTGATAAACAATAAATCAGACTTTTTAATCACAAGTTTCAAGCTACGAAACAAGTCCCAACAGTTTCAACTCGGTTACAAATCACATAAACCACCGCACGATGAGAGTGTCCTAGAAAAGAATAAATATATATCTTTTCCGGTAAGATGCATTTAACATTGTACATTTTTCTGATAATTATACACGCACGAAATGTCGAGTAAAGATAAGCGGAGCTCAGCTTTGCTATTTCATATACAATGGATGGATGAACTCAGATACACAAAGCATAAAGATGCGAAACCGAAACAGGCCCAGGAATATTATCACTTCAGCTGCAAGACTAGATGGAACATTTAGTGACCCCCTGGATTTCTGTTCCATGACAAGTATGATGGATCACCAAGCTTCCTGCAAATTTTGAACGTAAAAATTTGAACAAAGAAACAAAAACAAAAAAAATTCACAAGACCCAGAGAATTTTATCAATCATAGTAAAGCTTCCTGAACTGACGGCACTATAAGTTATCATGCACTCTGCATGTGACAACGTTTGGGCAAGTTTACCCCCACCAACTAAATTTAACTTCTACAATACCCTTTTATTCCAAGGGCGGGTAAAAAAAGTAATAAAAAAAGTAAAAAGGGTTGTTTCGACTTTTCACTCTGCTTGTTAACGTTGCTTATGAAAATTTCCAATAGTTCAGGGGGTTTACTATAATTTGGAAGTTTTGGAGGGGTTTGTATGATTTATAAAGTTCAAGGGGTTTGTGCAAAAACCCAATGCTTCATTTTTCTATTTTTATTTTTATTTTTTAATTTACCCAAAAAGAATTTAGCAATTATTAAGCACATATGTCTTGATATACTAGTTACTCCATATGCAAGTTAAGCACAATTCATCATGTTGTTTTCTAAGATTGTCTGAGAGACTCACCTTGGCTTCACCAAATATACAATGGTAAAGGCTAGTGCCAAGAAAAAGCAAAATCCTCCAACAGTTAGATATGCAATGCCGAGAAAGTCGTTCTTTCCTCCTATCCAGGTTGTGGTCGAAAGGACCAACTTCTTCTTGCCTCCAAAACTGTATGTGTTGTAATTATTTTCGAGGTGAACGATTATAGTATCATTTGCTTTGAGATCCACCTCTATCCTACCATACATCTTCCTAAATGTTGGAAGGGCTGCAGTTCTCATCCAAACAATGAGGTCTTCTTGATCACTCAACTGTTAAGACAAACATCAATGAAGTAAATATTAAAGAAAGCAACACCAACATGGAATTTATGATGCTTGAATAGCCTTGTGATGGGTAGCTTTGTACCACATAAATATTGAAACTATGGATTAGAAAGTACGAGAAGATGTCTCTGATGCTAAGCAGAAAAGCACAGTATTAACATTCTTCAACTAACAGTTTCTATCTGTTACACCAAGTAGGCAATGCTTATGAAAGTGGGATTTGCATTCAAGCGGCTCCAGAAGTTCATGTCAGCATGTAGATATATTTTTAAAAAATTGAGATATTAACCATGTTTTACAGATATTTTTTATAACATGGCATAGCGAAATATTCATGGACTTAGGATCATGGACTCAGTTATTTTTGGCGAAGGTTTTTTTACTTTCATGATTCAAGTACCCAGTACAAAGTCTCAACTTTGATGTTAAAACAGTGCTGAAGTTAATTAAAGAGATGAACGAGTATCCACATTCAAAGAAGTGAATCATGGTAGTCTGACCAAAGTAGTTTGCAAGCTTAAGTAGATAACATACTCATCTTTTCCTCTATCCCATGATACATTTAAGCAGGAAAAGTGGAAAACTATCCTTTCAATGCTTATCAATGCTATACATTCTGATCTAAATAGTATGCAAGCATATTCAGGTTAAGAAATAGAAAACTTACAGACTTATTAAGATCAAGTTTTCCACCACCTATCAACGTCCCATTCTGGAAGTTCTTAGGAAAGACATCTTTTCCAAATTTGTGATCCCTGTCACTCTTCCAAGAAATGTCCTTCTTGTTCACTTCCAATTTATCCTTTCCACGGGCAAAGCTGTAGGTATCATTAAACAAACTCCATGCAATGAGACCACAAGGAACAATTGGAGCCCCATTTGAGGTGGTCTTTTCAGGATCACATCCGTCCGTGCTATTAGCTTTTTTACGATCTCGCAGCTGATCATCATTTCGGCTCTTCACATACCTGCATTTTGATTTTGGCCAGAAGGAGAATAAGAAATTGTTCTTCTTCAAGAACCACATATTTTTCTACCTTGTAGAACAAGAAGCTAAATGAAGAAGAGCAAGTAGCAGGAATAAGAAATTCTTCTTCTACATTCTGCCTCCTCACATAACTTGAGCAATAAGAGGATAAATGAATCAGAGAAAATAGCAGTCATGAAAAGATGGATAAGTGGTAAAGAGTAATGCATAATCTCATGAAATTCGAACCAGGAGCTGCATATATTGAGCATAAAGCCATGGGCAGAAAAAATTAATGGTACGGGCAGGTGACAAACATGGATGTATACAAGGATAAAAGAGAGAGGTGGAAAAAGGTAAGTGGGCCCAAAAGGGAAGGTACCAACTTTGTACAACATACATGATATATTTTGTGCAACTAACTTCAATTTAAATTATGGAAACAATGACATATAATAAATTATCATCCGAGATACTTAGAATGCTCGTCGGATGAAAATTGACTACAAATGAAAGATTATGTAAAGAGAAGACAAACATCAAAGAATGATGACAAATGGCTGACCACAAATGAGTTGCAAAGTCAGAGTCAATTGTGAATAAGGTGAATTCATATGTACCTCCTATGATTCTGATAGAAGTTATCAAGCTGATAGTACACATAAATAGGAGCATCCATATCCTTCTCCACCTACAAGAAATACACAACTCATACTTCAGTAAGGCACTTTCATGCGAGCGTTTCGTAGGCACTTAGCACATTGCTCTTGACTTGGACATAAGAAAAATGATAATAACAACCACAATTCATGTCAAAGGTGACAAGGCAATTACAAACTAGAAGTTGTGTCAATAATTTCATGACTGCTATTAAACGACTGAGCACTACACAAAATGTTAGAAACCTCCTTACTTTTAAGTGTTTTGTGCAGTTTTTGTTAGATGTAGGATCCTGTATGTAGGCCAACTTAGAGTCTTTATTAGTAACATTTGTTGGTAGGCACTGTTCCTCATACCGATAAACAATTTCGACAACCTGAAAGAGAAGGAAAGTCGCCACTATAAGAGAACTCACTGTCTAATGTTTCAGCACATTACAGAAAAAAAAAATATTAGAACAGAAGTCTCAAATCTGTTAAAATATGAGAATACATTGTGAGAAGCGAACAGTGAGGCGATGCCAATGGGGATGAAAATAGTGCCGATTATTGCAAACACTGAAATCACCTGTAGAACATGGAGAGCACATTGTTAAGTAAGCAGCATTTCCGAGTTAATATTTATAACCAACAATTAGTGAAACATACCCATTGGGGAGTGAGAATAGGCTTGCAAGCTGGAAGCTCCTGTTGAGTAAACTTCGAATCTGAAAGGCAGAGCAAAGAGCACATTCATTAACTTAGTTCCACCCAAGTATATAATCTATTGTTCATTGAGACCACAAGCTAAACCATAAAATAAATTCAAAAAATCAGTAAGATCCAGAGCAATGTTAATAGTAAAAGCTAAGAATTGCAAAAGAAAAGGAAAGATGTAGCCTGACCATAAAAACCAAAAGCAGGAAACAAATATGATTAAAGAAACCAAAACTATGTTAATACAGCAAACTAATGGAAAAAGATCATGGCAAACGCATTTAAGTCTAACTTCACTTTCTAGCATTAGATCACAGCAGAAGGCCCGGATAATAAATCAAGTGAAAAATCATAGTTGGAAATTCTCGGAACCTATAGTTAATATGAAGACAAAAACAAAATTTGTAGATGCAACAAAAGAAAAAATTTCAAGGAAAAGTTAGCATTTGTCCTCGAAGAATAAATAACAAGCTTTTTTTATAAAGAAAATAGCAACCAAAACTGTATCCTCTTCATGGCAACTTGATAGGGGAGACTCCAATTCTCTGATCACAACCATCTACTACCATTTATATGTCTATAAAAATTTAATGTTAAGTGGTTATGATTCATTTTCAAATCTAACACTTAGCATATTACCCATAGTTACACTCATCAACACTTTTCATTCAAGACAAATCACAGATGTTCACTAACAGTCTGACAGGTAACTAAATAACTGTCAGGGATGATCCAAATCCTAGTCAAATATGATCCAAAAGAAGAGACCTTTCAGTGAAAATTTCAGCTTGGACACAACTAATAGATCAATTAAGGTTGGAGTAAGAAAATTCATCAATTTGAGATTTAAGAGACCAGATCACCTAACAAATATATGCGAAATAAACCTTCCTTTTAACGAAAAAAGTCAAAATTGATCTTATCTCTAAGAATACTTCTAGACCCATAAGGGAGAGATCTAAGGGAAACTAGGCTTAAGCAGAGAATCCCCACCAACAAGAAAAGCATACAGATCAAAAACCCTAACACAAACCAACCGAATAATATCCAATTCAACAAACCCTAGCCCAAAATCTCAATCTCAAACTAACTCACAATCAACAAAACTAAAAGACACCCATTAAAATTGAACACATCAAAATCATAACCCCCAACAAAAACTCACACTTTGGCCTCTTATTCTTCCTCTGAGCCGTCGCATCCCCCGATCCAGAGCTCGAACCAGCTCCCGTCGGCGTCGAATTGTTCATCATCCCTCAAAAACTTGCAAAAAAATCAGGTAATTACGCCAAAAATCGATCTGGGTCGCGGCTAAATCTCAACAAACAAAAAAAATCTCCCTTTTTCTCCCTCTCCTCTTTGTGGTTTATAAGAGTTGGTTGTTTTTTATGCGAATGAGGAGAGAGAAAGAGAGAGGAAGGGGGAGGAGAGGGGAAGGGTCTAGTTTGGCCGGCGACTCTACGATAGAAGAAAGATGAGGGGATTTTGAGGCGTTTCTGGGGTCAACGCGGTGATCTCAATGAGAAAATGTCGACGGTGGGTGGCTTTGGCTTTGGCTTTGGCTTTTGATTGCGGACGGTTTGGGTCTAACCCGGATTCGAAATTGATAGATCCGGATCCGACCTTAATATGTTGGTGTATATTATTCATGGATGAAAGATTGTTATGCTCTGTATTAATGCAGGGCTATCAATCATATCATACTCCCTTTAAAAGCACGAGTTCGGAAAATCTTTTTTAGACAAATATACCCATTTATAGTTTGAACTATCTTATCTATAATCAAATTCTAATTTTCAATGGTCAATATTACTCTTCACTATTTTAAATATTTTATTTATATTTTAATCTATCCTAATCCTATGTAAACCATGTTTAGCTTAACAATTTAAAAAAACTAATATTAATAAAATATATAAAATATAAAAATGATATTAGTTTGTTAAGATAAAGAAATTACAAGTAGATAACATATTATAATACATGAAGTATTGCAAAAAAACCATAAAAAAAAAGTTTAAAATTATAAAAATCATCCCAATGTTTCAAAACTTAAAATAAAAAACATGAAATTAAAAAATTAACATCAGTTTGCAAAGAATTTAAAATTTACAGTTAACACCTCAATGTCTCAAAAATTATAGAAACACCCTCAAAAGTTTAAATTACAGACAAGCACATTAAAATTCTAAAATTTTAAAATTTACAAACAACACAGATGAATTCAAGAGATTACCATGATACGCCTAAAAATGTTGATATTTAAATTTAAAATTTTTAATTAACACCCTCAATATCTCAAAAATTATAGAAACACCTTCAAAAGTTCAAATTATAAAAAGCCACCCTAAAATTCTAAAATTTATAAATAAAATAAGATGAATTCAAGATATTACCCTTAGACACCTAGAAATTAAAATTTGCTAAAATTAACCGCAAAATTTTTAAAAAATCTCCTTCAAAATTTAAAAATCGTAAAAAAAACTCTAAATTTTCAAAATTTTTAACTAGCACACATCAAATTCGTCGATTGGTAGACCGCTGAAATTTAATATTTTTCAAAATTAATCTATAGTTTTAATAATTGCAAAAGACACCCTCAAAATTTTAGAGTTACAAGAAATATACTAACATTTAAAAAATTACCACCAACACATGAAACATAGAAATATATATATATATATATATATATATTAAAATTTCTAATTTAGGGATTTACTATCCATTTTCAGCATCTAAGAATAGTCTAAGTTGATACTGGTAAACAAAAACAATAAGAATTGATTAAAAACATCCGGTTAATGGATAAAATTTTTAAAAATATTATAGATTAAAAATTATCGGCACTATATAAATTAAAGTAATTTCATATAATTTTAGTAATAAGTTGGGGTAGCCAAAATACATTCGTAACATTAATTGATAGATGTTTAAATCCATAGAAATGATAAAACACTATAATATTATACCTTAGCATTAATTGATTTTAATTTAGAAACTTTAATCTTTGACGTTAATAATATTTATAGGGTAAAAGAATACAAGGAATTACATATGGAGAAACTATTAGAATATTTAGAGATAACTTTAAAAGAATTGAGTTATTTCCATTGCAAATGGGAAAGTGATGGAAATAAATCTAAAATTCAGAAAACGTCAATGAATCACTTGAATTGGCATTAACATAAGACATATCTATTAATGAAGCACTGAATGAGTTACATTAAAAAATAATTTAATAACTTTATCCTAATCAAAGAAAAAATCTCCATGGAAGACATAAGAAAAATTAGTAAGTATTCATAAATTCCATACTGTGTTCTTCAAATTAAATATTAATATTATAATCTAAGAGAAATTGGTAATGAATAATGCAGGTATTTAGTTTAGATCTTTATGGAAAATGACAGGGATAGAGCAAAGGTAATATTATTGAAATAACAGAAATTCTTATTGGATGCACATCAGAAGAATTCATTTTAGAGGAAAATAAAGAGATAGCTTCTAATTTATTTAAGTAATAAATTAGGAACACAAAGAATTTTATATATATGAAATTAATATTTATCTCATTGAAATAGAAAAAAAATCAAAGTCTATATTTTGAGCAGTTTGTGTTGAACATCATAAGTACATTTGACTTTTTTGTAAAGTTAAATGAGATGATAAAAAATTAACGAGCCCAGGAAAGATAATAGCATAAAAAATACAAAATTAGTCTGATATCACAATTAATGTAGATGATGAAGACAATACTCTAGAATTGTCCGAGAAATGATAAATGATAAACCTGAAGAAGGATTGATCTTAACTCAATAAAAAATAAAATAGAAGAAATAAAAACAATATTTTATGAATATTTTATAGAATAGTTTAACTATTTTGAGTGAAATTAGGAATCTTTAGAAGGGAGTTTCATGAATTTTTTTTCAGTACTTTTATATTCTTATGTGGATGTTTTTATCATATAAAAGTATACTAGAGTTAGCATTAATCTTTAATTTATATTTTTTTATGAAGTCTATCAATGATTAGGAATAAACTTCATATTCTCTTTTGCATCGTTTTAACATACTTTAAATCAATCATTTTGCCATATTGGTTTTAAACATTCACCTTCCTTGTATAACACTATTTTAATATTTTTTACTTTGCAATGCTATACTTTCTCAAATAAAGCTTAGTTTCATATCTGTCAAAAATAATATGAATATTCAAATTATTTTTAAATTATATTTGTTTTTTGTCAATTCAAATATCAACATAAAAATTTAAATTGGGTGTATCCCATTTAAACAAACATAAAAAAATAATCGGGACTTAAGAGTTTAAAGAAAAAAATAAGCACAAACTACCAAAAATACTTAATCATGGTATTAAATCACGTGCATTGCACGTGTGTAAAAACTAGTATATATAAATATATATATAACTGTACGAGTAACTGGTGAACTAAATCTTTGTTTAAAATTCTTAACAGGATTAACTACATATAAGTACTGTGAGATATATGATGTAATTACACGAGTAATCCCAAAATCTATGTAACTACGTAGATAACACCGGCGTTTCTGATTGTAATTACGTGGTGATCCTAGGTTCTACTTTTTTTTCTTTGACTTATCACAGCACGTATACAATCAGTAGTCTTATGGTTAACTCATGTAATTACGCAGGATTTAGGATCACTCGTGTAATTATATCTGAATATAATTTCCTTCTTAATATGTTAAAAATCATATTATTGGGGGAACTGTGAATTATGGATAGAAAATAAAGACACTCTTAACTTTTAACGAGGCAATTGGATTTTAGGCGCGGCAACGAATTGGATCTATATTTTGTGTGCAATCGGGCCTGACCCACTTTCACCCGACTCCAATATACTAACGAGGGACCAAACTGTACAAGTACAAATGAGAAGAACTTTTCAAACTTCTAGATGAACATACATATGCTGCCGTTTAATCGAAGGCATGCATCCAAGAAAATAATGTAGCTTGTCCAAAAGATGTTAGCATATGATATCTAATTCCTCCACGTGAGAAGCGAGCCTGAAAAAAAGGGTAAAAAAAATTTCAATGATACTACATACACATNAAATATTATTATTGTTAGGAAAAAATATTTTTTAGAAAAGGAATTATTCTTCAAAAATAATATCTTAAACAAAAACGTTTCTAAAAAAATTGTTAGAAATTTTTTACTTTTCTTAATTTTTTTACGAATCTCTTTTTCAAGAAATCGTATTTTGAAGAAAATATTATTAAATTTAGAAAAATTATGTTTTTTAAAAAAGTATTATTCTTCCAAAAAATACTGTTTTAATATCAAATATTAAAAAATGTATTTATTTTCAAATTTATATTTTTAGAAATGTTATTTTAGAAAAATTATAAAAAGAAAAACATTATTAAAGTTAATATTGCAAATATTTAAAATTAACTAATAATTACTTTTAATATTTTGAAGTTAAAAACGAGCAGCATACCAAAAGTTATAAGCACTACCAAACAACTGCAACTACAAGTTGAAAGTTAAAAACAATTGAACCAAACAATTATAACCGCAGTTGCATGCACTAGTAGTTGCAATGTCTCAGTTACGTTCAAGTGATAGTTACATTACACTACAGTTGTAACCTGCCAAATACACTCACAATGTCCTTTCTTCAAGTCCAAAAATAGGCCCATTATTGATTATTCACGTTTGATAACCTATACGGACAAATAATTCTGGCCCAAGTTTAAGAGCCCAACCAGCATCCCTAGTAAATCTTTATCAATTGCAGGTTGCCTCTAACATTTCTATTGCAGGTTGCAACGTCTAAACCAGCAGGCGACAAAATTCTCATGTGAAATTTTCTTCTTTCCTTCCATTTATTACCCCTCTCTCTCTCTCTCTCTCTCTCCTCTCTCTCTCAAAAAACCCTTTCAAACAGTCGTACATCGTTAAACATTTCTCTTTCCCTTGCCCCCCTCCTACCATCGATCACACACAGCCGAAAAAAAATGAATCATGAAATTTCATGTTATTTCCACCTAACAAGTCTCAATTTATAATGAGTGCAGGCCCTTGATGCTTGAAAAAAAAAACTCAAATTCCAAGTACATAATAAATGATAAAACAGACATTCATCTCAAGTGGGTATATTCTTCTACAAACACTCTGAATCTTGTGTAGCCTTGTGAAATCATACATACGGCGGAACAAATTTTCTAAATAAACCCATTCATATTGTTTCTCTCTAAAAATAAACTCCCTTGAGTTTTATTTAAAAAAAATAGACCAATTTTATTTTAATCCGGTTCCTAAATAGTCGGGGTTGCCAAACCCAACTATTTAGGAGGTTGTAAACCCCCAATTATAACCCTAGACCCTGATATTCTATGCACTAAATAGTCCGGGTTGTCAATTCTGACTATTTAAAAACCGAATTAAGACAAAATAAGTCGATTTCTATAAAAAAACTCAAGGGGATCTATTTTTAGAAAAAAAAATATTATGAATAAGTTTATTTAGAAAATTTCTTCTACATAGGCGCAATCCTTTCTACAATTTCCTTTTCAATTTCATAATTATTATACAAAACATGTCAACATCTCTATTTTAAAAACAAAACCATGTCCTGATCAGCATGATCACTCTCCCTCCCCCAACCGAACAATAAAATAGTAAAAAAAAAAAATCAAAAAAATGAAAAAATCATACACAAAACTTGATCGAGTACGGTTCATGGCAGCAGCAAATTTGCCCCTCGCTGCCTCCTCACTTGCTCAATCGTCGTCAATCTCTTGGAAAAACCTGAACCCTTGAGAAAATATCCAAATCCTCTTGAGAAGTAAGCAGGGAGGAACCTTCAAGCTCCCGGACAAAAAAAAAAAAAAAGAAAAAAAAAAGAAAAAAAGAGAGGAGCTCGATGTCGATGCTCCGCGTGTCCTTCATATCTCGCCGCCACCTGCTCTCTTCCCCTTCCTGCTTCCGCCGAAGAGTACGCTCTTAAATCCCCGAAACCCTAGTTTCTCTTTCATCGTCTCAGTTTCTCTCTCGAACGCAGTTCGCAATTCCCTCTTTTTTTATTATTTTTTTTGCATCAAGGTTTGATTTTGATATTTGTCTCTCGTTTATTTGAGGGAATTCTGAACTGGGCTTTGATTGCATTGGCAGATGAGCACCGACCCGAAGGAGGCGGCGACCCGGCTGAGGGATTCTGGGCTGTTGAGGAGCCAAGGGTTTGTTGGTGGCAAATGGGTTGATGCGTGTGATGGAAAGACCTTTGAGGTATTCCAAGTTCTTAAAGTTCTCCTCTTGCCACCTTTTTTTTTAAACGTAATTCAGTTTTTGCATGTTGTGTTCTGTGACTGAAGATGACTTTATAAACTGAAGGTACTGCAGTAGGTCTTAACTATCTGCTATGAGTTTTTAATTTTTGTTAGTTTTCCTGTTATTAACATGCCTTCAGCCCATTGGAGTTGAAGGCTGCTATTTTCCCAAATACCTAAGAATAGGTCATTTGATTCCTTTGTTATAGCGGCCTGTGTAAACATTTTTCACTCTCTATTGTCTTTGAAATTTTGCAGATTTTAGGTTACTAGCATCTCATTTATTTATGAGTAATTGCTCAAAGGCATGGTCCTTGTCCTGTTTTATTACACCGTGCTCCCCTACTTATGGTTCACTATAGGACTGTTGTTCTTATTTGCTATAAGTAATAAGTCTACCATGGTTTTCGGAGAAAAGCACCCGTGCAGACTCACCATACATATGACTAAGATTTTTGATGCTATGTTACATATCCTTGAGTTGTGATATACTTGCTTATCTGTAATAATTCTTGATGAGTTTCTCTGTGCTTGTTACTTGTCCTGCAATACCCTCAGCATATGTCAGTGAGTCACATATAAGTTGGAGTAAACAAAAATGTTCATTAAGAATTACAAAGTACAGTCATGTCATCTTGCTTCACATGGTTGAGGTTTAAGGTAGAGTTTTTCTGAACCGTGGCAAGTAACTAGTACTATTTTATGATTCTCATGACAGGTGCGAAATCCTGCTACCGGTGATGTTATAACAAATGTTGCAAGAATGGGAAAGAAGGAAACTTCAGATGCAATATCGTCGGCTTATAGTACTTTCAACTGTACGAACCTCGCAAACCACATTCTAGTTGTTTTTCTCTTTCTTGCAATAGTTTCTAATGAGTACACACCTATCTCCTTCTAAGTTAAATGCACTACCCATGATTCATCCTGCCCATAAAATGTATACAAAGATGATATATTTGTGGTTTGGTTAAATCAAAGGCAACCTTAGGCAATCCAGTATATCGACTTCTTGGTACAACCTTTAATATAAAAGGTCTTGACCTCAATCAGCCATGCAGCGCCCAAGTGAAAATGTAGCACTCATGTCAAACTGAGATAGTGCTGGTCTTTCCTAACCCAAATATGCATATGATGAGCATCGTTATCATGATTGCCAAAAACTAGTCTGGAGATTCATGGGCTTAGCCCAGCTTGGCAACTTCTCACCTTTATACTGTATATATGACTCCTGAATTCTTATATAAATTCATATTCAATTTCTAAGTATTTGCTATATGATAACTTTCTGCTTTAATTCAAAGAATAATGGTTCTCAGTTTATTTTTTCATGAATAAAGTTCATATTATTTACTTTTGAACAGATGATGCTGTCAGTGACTTTTAGCAATGGAAAATAAAAATAGTGTTTTATGGTGTATCATTCAAAGAAAATATGTTTGAATAGAATGTCCTAAAATGTTTTGTATCTATGTTTAGGATGTGTAACTTTAATTATGATGAAAATGGACTACTACTTCCAGGACGATTGGACTATGATATTACTGAATGTATAAACGCAGAGGTTTTATGGTTTTTTTCAATAGGGAAATATTAAAACTTGTGGTTCTGTCCCTCTTTTGCAGCATGGAGCAGGCTTACTGCAAACGAAAGGAGCAAGTGTCTTAGAAAATGGTATACATGCAATATGTTAATATTCCTTATCATTATTTAGTGTATTATTTTTCTGTAGTAGTGCTGAATACAATGATTAAGAACTAAGGCTGCTTGAACCTCTCTTTTCTGACATTAGCTAGTTTTAAATATGTATTTCATGTCCAAACAAAAGCTGGTGTAATATATACATGTAATGAAATGGAAATCAGTTGTTAAAAAAAAAAGGTCAGAATGTGTTCTACCTGTGTAACATTCTCAATTTGCTGTTTTATCAAGACAAATGATTTCATTCTTCCCCTTTCTATATCTGAAGGTATGACCTAATGATTGCTCACAAGGAGGAACTTGCGCTACTTATCACATTGGAGCAAGGGAAACCTCTAAAGGAGGCGCTTGGTGAGGTATCAGATTGAATTATGCACTTAATAATAAATTAAAAAAACTGATTGCGGTCCCTTTATGTGTCTCTATCAATAATGGTTTACTTCCGAAGTAGTCATCGTTAAAAGTCTGCTCACAGGTTACCTATGGTGCCAGCTTTATTGAATTTTTCTCTGAGGAGGCAAAACGTGTATACGGTGACATCATTCCTCCTACACTCTCTGATCGCCGACTGTTGGTGTTAAAACAGGCAACCCATTTTTCCTGCATCACTTTATAGTCATATTATCTGTTGCTTTAGTATTTTCTTCATTGTGTTTCACAGTTGTAATTAACATTGCATCCATCATGTATTTGTCAATGATGGATGTAGATTTTTCTTGTGTATATGAATTTCTTTCCTTCCAAGAGTATTTCTCTTGTGTTTGTAAATGTTGCTTTGACTGTATTTTCTATTAAACTTCTTGCATCATAGCAAATAAGAACTTATATTTTACTAAATTACTGTTAAGTTATAACAGCTAATCACGTGGAACTTTCCTTTGGCCATGATTACACGAAAGGTTAAAATTTAAAACAGTTAATGGAGCTGCTTAAATATTCACATAATTAAGACTATGTCCTTACTGATGATTATGTTCGTTAACTAAGGTATTGTCTCCAACAGGTGGGTCCTGCCTTGGCTTGTGGGTGCACGGTGGTGGTTAAGCCATCTGAATATACACCCCTCAGTGCATTAGCTGCAGCGGAGCTATCTATTCAAGCTGGAATACCTCCTGTAATTTCTCAACTTCTGCACTCTTATTGGTTTGCAGAATATGATAGGCTTTAAAATCATCTTTACATGAAATGGTGCAAAAAAAATCTGAAGTTGATCCTGTATTCACGAGTCATAATTTTAAACAGAGTGATAAAACAAGAGCATAAAATATGTGGAGAACAATATCTCAGCTAATCCAATTGGATTGCGTCCATCACCTACTCTTGATTAGTTTTTGTCCCCCACGGGTTTGATATCCTTTGAATCTTATGCAGCAGTTCTTATTTTATGATAAGCAGCCAAATTAACTAATTTGATATATTGTCTTATGATAGTTCTTTGAAGTGTGCTTCTCTTTTGTGATAAAACAACAGCTTAAACCAGTAGTTTCACTTCCACTTGTGTTTGTTACCATACAAGCTTTTGGTCCTACATAAGGAGTCTGCAGATGCTAGTTTTTCAATATAATGGATTAAACACCTTTCTTCCTATTATAATTAATTTTTTTTTCACTTCTCATCCTTCAGGGTGCATTGAATGTGGTCATGGGAAATGCTTCAGATATTGGTGATACTTTACTTGAGAGCACACAGGTTTATGCTTTTAACTTTCTACTCTGCACAATGTTACTATCGTATTGCATAATCACAAAAATATAATGCAGCCTGTTATCATATTATTAGGTAAGGAAGCTCACGTTTACTGGATCAACTGCTGTTGGGAAGAAGTTAATAGCAGGTTCATCAAGTACAGTTAAAAAGGTTGGTTTACTAAGTTGTTTAGCTTTTCTACAAAGGACTATCATACCTTGCTATCATCCTTCTAAGAATCTCCATGCTATTATTGGTGTTTTAAAATCAATGTTTTGAAAATTATACTTTTGTAGGTTTCCATGGAACTCGGTGGTAATGCACCCTGCATTGTCTTTGATGATGCAGATTTGGATTTAGCAGTAAAAGGAAGTGTAAGTGCGGATATCGTCTTCTCAGTCATTGTTATCTCATGCTGATATTGATTTTCTTGTCTAGTGCAGATAACTCATAACAGTTGTTTTTTCTTGTACATTAACTGGGCATATTATAAGTTTGAGTAGTTTAATTTTTCTGCACAAGATTACGATGGAAAAGTCCAATATTCCATCATATAAGAATGAAAAAGGCCAGTTAAGGCAACTATTATTTAATCATTCCATTATTCATTATGATCTTTGTGCTAAAAATAGATGTCTCAAAAATTGTATGATGTAAAAAAAAAATTTAGCCATGGATTTAGTGTTCGCATTTGTTTAGTGGATGAGAAAGTGTTAAATTTTGTAATGAATGTGATGCATGGATAAAAGTTCTTAAAAAGAGCTCGTGATTTTTCATGTATACATGTTTTATGACATGTAGATTACTTAATGCTACGGGCCATACATTTGTTGCAAGAACACTGACCTCCTATATCCTGATGCATATGGGGGAAGGAGTTCGGGTTTAAAAAGGACTTACTTTCATTACTGTGCATATTCCTTCTAGATTGCGACTTCTGTATATTTAGAATCTTTTGTGTGATGACTGTCGAGCCTCTCTTTAATCTGCTAGTCATCACCTTAACAGTTCACCTAATGTTTATATGTATGTATGCATGCATGCATGCATGAATTTATTTATTTCTTTTACATTGCTAGTTCATTGGATGGATGGATGGATGCATGAATTTATGTTGCTAGTTCATTGGATGGATGGATGGATGCATGAATTTATGTTGCTAGTTCATTGGATGGATGGATGGTAATGCTAGTTCATTGGGTCTTACAATTTTATCTTTAATATCTAATTTATAGCGTGATAAGGCTAGTTCATTGGGTCTTACAATTTTACTTTTCTAATTTATATTGCTAAACAATGGGAATCTTCTAATGTTTTTACAGCTTGCTGCAAAATTCCGTAATAGTGGGCAGACATGTGTTTGTGCGAACAGAATCTTGGTGCAAGAAGGTAAGCATTTTAGTTTGTCTTTTATTGTTGTGGGTTTTAGAATCTAAGGTTACATTCACAACTAGAAACAGAATTATCGTTTTCCTCTCGATATTTTGTTCTGCAGATATTAAGGATGAAATAAGATATTCTCTGTATTTTAGAATAGTGAGTTACTGAGAACCTTTATCTGCATTAACTAAACAGGGCAATTTTTTTACGACTATATACTCAAGAGACGTGTATAATGCACATTACCAGTTTGTTTGTGGCTGTCAACTCATAGTCGTTTCTTTAATCACATCTATCCCATGTTGAAGTGAAAAAGATGAATTCAATCACATTTAGCTGGATTATTGGGAGAAAAAGGGATGAACACTTAATTACCTTTAAAAGTGATTTTAATAATAGTCAAATAGACTTTATTCTTACTAGAAGGCGGATAGGTTAAAATGTAAAGATTGTAAAGTTATACTAGGAGAGAGTTGAAGTACACAATATAGATTGATGGTCCTAAACATATTTATTAAGAAGTGGAGTAAAAAAACTAACGTGAACAAGAGACTAAGAACTAAATGGTGGAATTTAAAAGGAGAGAATTTAATGCATTTTAACAATAAGATAATGAAAGAAGATATATGAAATTTAGATAATGAGACTAATATTATGTGGAATAGCATTATCTTCTTGTATTAGGAAAGTGGCTAAAGATAACTAGGAGAATCTAAATGTTGTAGATTAGACGGTATGAAGAGTTGGTGGTGGAATGAGAGTGTGTAAAAGGTTATTAGAGAGAAGAAAACTTTATTTAAAGAGTTAAAAAATTGTAGGAGTAGGGAAAACTTGAAAAAATATAAACTAATAAGAAAAGAAACAAAAAGATTGCTAAGATTAGAGAAAGAAAGAGTAGAGATTTGGGTAATATTAGGTGTATTAAAAGTGAGGATCAAAGAGTTTTAGTGACTAACAAGGAAATAAAAGAGAGGTGGAGTTACTTTCATCTATTGTTTAATGATAACCATACAAGTGAGCAAAATAGAGATTTTGATCATATAGTGAATGATAGAAACTATAGATATTGTTAAAAAATTAGGATTAGCGAGGTTAAAGATGCTCTAAAGAAGATAAAAAGTGAAAGAGTCATAGGACCGGATGGTATCCCTATTAAAAATTTAAAGTTTGGAAATATCTTTGAGATATAGGCTTAGGGCTTAGGATGATCAACTAAACTATTTAATAAGATTTTCGAGACGAAAAGAATACTGGATGAGTGGAGAATTAGTACTTTGATATTAATGTACAAGAATAAAAGAGATATACAAAGTTGTTCAAATTATTGAGGTATAAAACTCACGAGTCATACTATGAAACTTTAGGAGAGAGTAATTAAGCGAAGACTAAGAAAAGAGACAAGTATATCTGAAAATCAATTTGATTTTATGCCTGAGAGGTCAACTATGGAACCTATACATATTTTGAGACGGTTGATGAAGAGATATAGAGAAAAAAAGAAAGGATCTATATATGTTTTTTATCGATTTAGAAAAAGCTTATGATAGAGTGCCTAGAGAGGTAATGTGGTGGGTGTTAGAAAGGAAATATGTATCTAGTATATATATTGATGTAATTAAAGATATGTATGATAGAGTAACAGCTAGAGTAAGAACTAGTGAAGGAGAGACTACACCGTTTCCTATTACCATAGGTTTACACCAAAGGTCAGCTTAAGTCCTTATCTTTTTACATTAGTTATGGACCAATTTACTAAATACATTCAGGATGAAATCACATGATGTTCGTTATTTGTCGATGATATAATGTTAGTTGATGAAACTAGAATAGACATTATTTCTAAAGTAGAAAGATAGAGACAAGCTCTTGAACCTAAAGGTTTTAGAATTACTTGAACAAAAACAAAATATATGAAGTGTATTTTTAGTAAAACTAAGAAAGAAAGAGAGCATATGGTACATATTGATGGCCAAAAAATACCTAAAACTATTCATTTTTGCTATTTAGGATCAATCCATTAGGTATGATGATGAGATAGAGGATGATGTTGTGCATCGAATCAAATCGGAATGGTTGAAATGGAGGAGTGCTTTGGGAGTCTTATATGATGGTAGAATACCAATGAAACTAAAGGAAAAATCTATAGGACGGTTATAAGACCAACTATGCTTTATGGGTCAGAGTGTTAGGGCAATTAAGAAACATGTTAAAAAAAAGAGCGTAGCAGAAATGAGAATGTTACGATGGTCTTATGAGTATACACTAAAAGATAGAATAAGAAATGAGTGTATCCGTAGTAAATTAGATGTTGCACTTATCGAGGATAAAATAAGAGAGAATAAATTAAGATGGTTTGGTCATCTACGACGGAGATTGCTTAGTGCACAAATTAGGAAAAACGATAATATTATAGTTAATGGGGCTAGGAGATTTAGAGGTAGATCTAGAATGACTTGGTTAGAAGCAATTAAGAAAGATATGATTAGGAATTTAGGATTAACTTAACGGAGGAGATGACCAAGAATGAAATGGAAGAAAAGGATTTATGTAGCTGACCCAAACATTTGGGATAAAGGTTTGGTTGTTGTTGTTTATTCTTTGTGTATACATCTCATATACTAATTAAAATCATCTGATTTTAAATTCAAGCAGAAAGTTTTTTTTTTGGGGCTAGGATAGAACCTTAAATGAGTAATTTACTCATTAGTTTAGTTCTTAGTTTTACATCCTTGGGATTGTTAGTTGTCTAAAAGTTTCTCTCTGATTTCATGTATTGTATAAAGAAAACTCATTCATTTACGGTGCAGGCATCTATGAAAAATTTGCAAATGCTTTTGCAACGGCTGTTCAAGATTTGCAAGTTGGAAATGGCCTAGCTGAGGGTATATCTCAGGTAAATTGTCACACAAGTTAATGCTCTCCTGCATTGTAGTTTTTGTAAATTCAGAATAACTCATTGATTATCTGGTGCAATGGACTGAAATTTATGAGGTCTACGATATTGAATGTATCAGAAAGGATGATGGTTTCATTGCAAAGAGCATCTTTGATGCTGTGTACTATTTTAGATAACTTGACCACTGAGTTGTGGAATTTGTACAGGGTCCCTTAATTAATGAAGCTGCTGTGGAAAAGGTATTTTTCATGATATTGCCCAAGAACAAGATCTTGCCTATTCATTTTTCAATACTTCCTCAATTTTGTATCAGTTTTATTCCCCTAGTCACATGGTTTGATTTGTTTCCGGGATTTTCCAAATTATAGGTTGAGAAATTGGTCAAGGACGCAACTTCTAAGGTACCTTTTATCACATGTGAACAGTTTTTAAAATTAATAGAAAATATGATGAGCATTCTTTTTATGTTGATATATCCGTAGATGCCGATCATGTAATTAAATCAAACAAAATATCTTGGAATTCCAATTTGACATGTCTGTGCTTCTTAGCCAATACCATAATATAAAACTTGATCATGATGCGTATAAATACATTTTTTTCCAACAGGGAGCGAATGTTATTCTCGGGGGAAGGAGGCACAGCCTCGGCATGTCATTTTATGAGCCTACTATACTCAGCAATGTTAGCAATAATATGCTTATTTCAAGGTCAGATTCTAAATTATACCTTTAAGTGCGTCATTTTATTTTAAGCTCATGCAGCAAACGTGAGACCTTCCAGAATTCTCTTAGACTAGCTACAAGAAGGGGATTTAGATAGGATTAGTTACATCCCGATATCCCGTGGTATCGTGTAGTTACATTGGTGACTCTGGATCTGTATATCTACACAAATAACGCTGAGATCACTAACAGAAGTTACACGGGTAACCCTAACTAACCCTAAGATTATTTTCACCAAGGTTATCTGTGAAATCTCAATAATCTCAGAGGGTTATCCGTGCAGATATACACAGATCCCAGGGTCACCTGTGTGGTGACATCGCCACTACGGATATAGGTTTAATATCGAGAACTGCTGAGAACTTTGGAAGGATATGAGTCCAAAGATTTAGCCAGAAAGATTAGAATGATACTTTTTACTTCATATATAAAACAATATTCCATTATTTGTGATATAGAGAGGAAGTGTTTGGTCCAGTTGCACCTCTTTTGCCTTTTAAAACTGAAGAAGAAGCTATCAAGATCGCCAATGACACCAATGCAGGTGCTGTTTCTCTTCACTAGAAGCTTATGCTCAAGAAATTGTTTTTTATCATCAACCTTTAAACTTTATACTCATAGTGGAAAGAGAAGTTTTGAATATGTTGCAGTTTATATCTTCATTTTAGTTCTTGCTTTGGTGAAACTAATAGATCAAGTGGTTATTAGTTTCATTTATATACAATTTGCAGGTCTAGCCGCTTACATATTTACAAAAAGCATACCTCGATCTTGGCGTGTATCTGAAGCTCTTGAATATGGACTAGTTGGTGTTAATGAAGGCCTAATTTCTACTGAGGTGAACATCACTTAGCATAAAAATTGGAGTTGCTTCATCATTTCTAAAATTTAAGAATGTTGTATTCCGTTTTAATAGGTGGCACCATTTGGAGGGGTCAAACAGTCTGGCCTTGGACGAGAAGGTTCCAAATATGGAATGGATGAATTTTTGGAAGTAAGTCCGCTAAATAATTTTTTTAGGTTAATGGCACATAGACCCTGAACTATCGCTGTTTTGCACTTGCTACCCCTGTAGTTCACTGATGCGGACTGACCACCTGAGTTAAATTTTTTGATTCAATAATTTCAGCCTGGGGCAATATCTGTCAAAATTTTCCCAGGGGTAAAAGATCAAAAAAAGGAAAAAAAAAATCCTGGGGTCTATCTGCAAATATTGGAACTGCATGGTAGAAATTGCCAAAATAAAAAAAGAAATAATACTTCAGGGGTCTGTCTACAATTAACCCTTTTTCCGTTGATTCTTACTTTTTGAACTGAATCTTATTCTCCTTTTGTGACAGGTCAAATATGTGTGCATGGGAAACTTGAATGCGAAAGAGTAAGCTTATTTGAAGCTTACAAATGCTCTGTAAAGAAGCTGTAGCCTATAGCCAAGGGTAAGTGTATCATAATCTCTCTGAGTGCATTCTAAATCTTCAAATAGTTTTCTTTCTATTTTAAAGAATAAAAATGGTTTTTTTTAGTTTACCAAAACTTTAAAGTCTAACTCGGGTGACTGTTATAAAAACTATGTTTTCAAACCTCCCATGTATATAGAATTGATGCTTAGGAAATTTACAATATCGATATTTTAAGAAACACCGCAAGTCTCTTATCCTATCCACTCCTTCCTTAAAAGATATTATGTTACTCATTTATAAAGACATTTATCTCTTGGTAAATGTTGGATTTGCATGGTGCTTATTATCTCTTTTTTTTTTTCCTTTGTCAAAACAGGTTAAATATCTACATCAGGGGTCTTTTGGGAGAGTGTACACTTTTGAGCTGTGGCATAATCGAGTAAAAATAAAGGAGTAATTCCTGAGAATAAGTTCTCCTTTGTGTGGTAATTGTGTTGAAGACCAGAACATGTTACCTTCCTGATTGTAAATTATAAGGAGTGCTTTCTCATAATAAATTATGAAAATTTATATTAGCACGGCATCTGCAGTTACTGTATCAGTTTTCGAGAATAATATTTATTTTCTATGCATCATGCTCAGTGTAGTCTTTCCTTAAGGGCGTGTTTGGTTCGCTGTTTTGAACCGAAGAAACACTTTTCTCCTCCTGACACCCGCTCCACATCGACAAAACCCTTTCTAGGGTTTTCGTTTCTCGTCTTTGGTTCGCTTCTCCCCCTCGTCCCTCCAGCCGCGGTGTATTAGGTGTATATGTTGTTCTGTATCTCCTCTTCTCTTTACAGTTCTTCACACTCTTTGTACACTCCAAATATGCAGCAACAAAAGGGTCTTCTTTCCTTGTACTCCTATTCCCATGAATAATCTTTGCCAATGAATTGAAATGACAAAACAGTGAAGGAAAATAGGTGCTATCAGTTGAAAGGTTTGGACTTGGAGGAGGGACTGGCAACCTAGGAGCTGCATTCTCTTTTCTTGATTCTTTTCTTGGGAATTCATCTAATAGTTTGCTGGATTTCGTGGCTTGCTGGATTTTATCAGCGCCTTTATTGGGAAAAATTTGGGGGTTTTGCCGACTTTGATCTTCCTGGAAACTGATTTCAGACCTAAGGTATGATTCTCAACTCAAAAAGAATTTTTAAAAATTTTGTCCAGGTTTGTTGTGTCTGGTTGTTGTTGTGTCCAGAGTTGTGTTGTTGTGTCGTTGGTTGTTGTTGTGTCCAGGGTTGTTGCTGGTTGTTCCTTCAGTTGCTGTTGATTGTGTCCAGTTTTGTTGCTGGTTGTTCCTTCAGTTGCTGGTTGTGTTGGTTGTGTCCAGGTTTGTTGTGTCTGGTTGTTGTTGTGTCCAGAGTTGTGTTGTTGTGTCGTTGGTTGTTGTTGTGTCCAGGGTTGTTGCTGGTTGTTCCTTCAGTTTAAGTTTTGATTATTGACATTGCATATGAATGCTTGGTAGGTATATTAATTATTTCAATTTGATTTTTGCATCGTAGATGGATGGTGATGGGGATTGTACCGATGAACAAAGTGTTGTTAATGTGGTTCAAGGTGCTGCACTATCCGTTCTTGTTATAATAATTACATTCATAAGGAGAATGCAAGCTAGACGTAAATCTATACGTCGTGGTCCAAGTGAGGAAAAAAAAAGACAAGAGAGGTCTAGAATTGAACGATTTTTGCATCGTAGATGGATGGTGATGGGGATTGTACCGATGAACAAAGTGTTGTTAATGTGGTTCAAGGTGCTGCACTATCCGTTCTTGTTATAATAATTACATTCATAAGGAGAATGCAAGCTAGACGTAAATCTATACGTCGTGGTCCAAGTGAGGAAAAAAAAAGACAAGAGAGGTCTAGAATTGAACATATAGAGCGTATTTATAATGGTTTTAGTGATAGTTGTGTGAATTATATTAGAATGCGGAGTGGTGCTTTTGTTAAGCTAGTAAGTATAATGAGGAACAATATGCTTCTAAAAGACTCAAGGAATATATCAGTGGAAGAACAACTTATCATGACACTAAATATTTTGGGTCATAAATCTAAAAATCGCATTGTGAGATCTCATTTCATAAGATCAGGGGAGACAGTCAGTAGATATTTCAACAAGGTTTTACAAGCAATTATCTGTTTGCGTGGACGCTACATGAGACAAGCCATCAATGATACTCCCCAAGAGATCGTTAACAACCAGCTATACTATCCTTATTTCAAGGTATATCTACATTTTAACCACAGTTACATGTATAAGCAATAAAAATAAATGATAACTTAGTAATGTGATACACGTATTATAGGATTGCATTGGTATGATAGATGAGACTCATGTTGATGCAATGCTTTCGATTAATCTTGTTGCATAATTTCGAGGCCGCAAAGGTGTTACACTGAATGTGCTTGCAGCTTGCGTTGATTACATAATTTGAGTTTGTGATTTCCTTCCAGGAGGCTAAAAGATGTTTGTGATTGATTACATATTTGAGTTTGTGTTGATTACATATTTGGGTTTGTGATTTCCTTCCAGGATGCTAAAAGATGTTATGGTTTGTGGTTGCTAAAAGATGTTTTGATTTCCTTCTGTTTTTGGTTGTTGGGTTTGTGATTTCATTCCTGGTTGCTAAAAGATGTTCTTGTTTGTTGTTGGGTTTGTGATTTCCTTCCAGGTTGGTTTTTGGGTTTGTTGTTGTGTCCAGGTTTTTGGGTATAATCATGGTTTGTTGGTTTTTGGGTATAATCATGGTTTGTTGGTTTTTGGGTATAATCATGGTTTGTTGGTTTTTGGGTATAATCATGGTTTGTTGGTTTTTGGGTATAATCATGGTTTGTTGGTTTTTGGGTATAATCATGGTTTGTTGGTTTTTGGGTATAATCATGGTTTGTTGGTTTTTGGGTATAATCATGGTTTGTTGGTTTTTGGGTATAATCATGGTTTGTTGGTTTTTGGGTATAATCATGGTTTGTTGGTTGTTGGTATAATCATGGTTGGTGGGTTTGTTGTTGTGTCCAGGTTTGTGCTATGTTTTGTGCACATATGTCATCTTCTCTTTTGCTGAAGTTCTATTTGAGCTCACTGTTTGTGGATGCTCTGGTGTTCAACTTCTATTTGAGCTCATGTTTTGTGGAGTTCTATGTGTGTTCAGATTTTCCGCACTGTTTGTTGATTATGATACTGTTTGTGGGTGTTCAATTTAGGCTATGATGATTGTCAATTTTTCTGAGATTAGCAACCTGTAATATCTATTGATATTACACTGGATGGCTAACAATGATGATATTGAACAAGTTCTGAGCCCACAGTCATAATTCACATATACATGTGGCTGATTTATTTGACATGATGTCAAGAAATATTTTCAAATGATTTTTTGCACATAAAGTTCAACATGCATAAATTATCAGGTTCGATGCTATTTGCTATGTTATATACTAAAATATGGCTATTCAGGCCGTTTATATGTTTTTATAGGTTTCAGAAATTTTTTTGGCTAATTCAGGTACGTATTTCATAAATTTATGAATAATCAGGTTATTACAGGTCTTGTTCATTTTTTCTTGGAAAACAGGTTTTGTGCGATTATTTTCATCACAAACAGGTATATTTCATGTCAAATCAGGTACGCAGTTCATGTTACAGTAGGTTTCAGATGATTTCAGGTTTCGTATGATTTCATTAATACAAACAGAAATTTATAATTCATTCGGGTTATTTTTATTTGTTCATGATACATTCGACACTTATATTTGAATGAGCATGAAGCAAGACTATTTATGGGCATATCATCGGTTGGTCAAAAAGAGATGATTGCTACCTTTCTCAACGAAGGGGGTTGAAGACCGATAGAAGAAGTCTCTACGTGGTATTTTGTGATTCTCATTTCTAACATACTTGTGAAATCCACTTACTTTTGGTGATAATGTTTTTATTGTGTTTGTGGAACATTATGATGATGGAACATATTGTTGTAATATGTAGTAAGTATTTATTTGCTTCCATTTTGTAATATTTATCTTCCATGATTAATATCATTTTGTGGAATACTAACTTTTGTAATTGAATTTGTGAATGCAGGATATTTCCTAAGATGCAAGCAACCTACAATGTGTACACATTGTACTGGATGGCTATTGCTCTGGGGCATTTAGGTATTTGGTTTTCGTTGGTGATTTTTTTATTTTTAGGCTATGATGATTGTCAATTTTTCTGAGATTAGCAACCTGCAATATCTATTGATATTGCATTGGATGGCTAACAATGATGATATTGACCAAGTTCTGAGCCCTAAGCTAAACACAACATGTGCTCGGGGTTGTTGGTAGTTGTTGTTGTTGGTTGTTGGTGGTGGTGGTTGTTGTTGTTGTTGGTTGTTGCTGGTTGTTCTGACCTGGTTGTTGTTGGTCTGGTCTGGTTGTTGTTGGTTGTTGCTGGTTGTTGGTTAGTTTGGTTGTTGCTGGTTAGTTTGGTTGTTGCTGGTTTTTGCTGGTTGTTGTTGGTTGGTGGTTTTTTGGGTTTGTTGTTGCTGGTTGTTGGTTGATCTTGTTGTTGGGTTTGTGGTTTCTTGTTGTTGCTGGTTGTTGGTTAGTTTGGTTGTTGGGTTTGTGGTTTCTTGTTGTTGCTGGTTGTTGGTTAGTTTGGTTGTTGGGTTTGTGGTTTCTTGTTGTTGCTGGTTGTTGGTTAGTTTGGTTGTTGGGTTTGTGGTTTCTTGTTGTTGCTGGTTGTTGGTTGATCTCTACGTTGTTGGGTTTGTGGTTTCTTGTTGTTGCTGGTTGCTGGTTAGTTTGGTTGTTGGGCCTGAATGTTTCTTGTTGTTGCTGGTTGTTGGTTAGTTTGCTGGTTGTTCCTTCAGTTGTTGTTGTTGTGTCCAGAGTTGTGTTGTTGTGTCGTTTGGTTGTTGGGCCTGAATGTTTCTTGTTGTTGCTGGTTGTTGGTTAGTTTGTTGTTGTGTCCAGGTTTGTGACAACTTCCAGTTTTGTGCACACCAGTTTTGTGAGCTCACTGTTTGTGGATGCTCTGTTGTTCATCTTCTATTTGAGCTAATGTTTTGTGGAGTTCTATGTGTGCTCAGATTTTCCGTACTATTTGTTGATTTTGATACTGTTTGTGGGTGTTCAATTTAGGCTATGATGATTGTTAATTTTTCTGAGATTAGCAACCTGCAATATCTATTGATATTGCACCGGATGGCTAACGATGATGATATTGAACAAGTTCTGAGCCCACAGTCATAATTCACATATACTGGATGGCTATTTGCTATGTTATGTACTAAAATATGGCTATTCAGGCCGTTTATATGTTTTTATAGGTTTCAGAAATTTTTTTGGCTAATTCAGGTACGTATTTCATAAATTTATGAATAATCAGGTTATTACAGGTCTTGTTTATTTTTTCTTCGAAAACAGGTTTTGTGTGATTATTTTCATCTCAAACAGGTATATTTCATGTCAAATCAGGTACGCAGTTCATGTTACAGTAGGTTTCAGATGATTTCAGGTTTCGTATGATTTCATTAATACAAACAGAAATTTATAATTCATTCGGGTTATTAATATTTGTTCATGATACATTCGCACTTTTA